CTGTGCTGGAATCTCTTTTGACTGCTATCCAAGGATCACAATCAAGTTTTAAAATAGTACAATCTTAGGTTTTCAGCCAGAGAGCACTGTTCTGGTTTGTAGAGGCACAGATTTAGCGGTCTAGACGGACGTGGCTGGGAGGGCTGACTGAGCCGGAAGTGAAGTATGTGTGTGTGTGGTGGGGGGTGTTGAGTCAACACAGGACTGTTTCTCTGACTTGTGTTGCTTCTGGTCTCATGCCTCTCAATGGAATCACAGGCACAGATTGAGATTGCGAAAACACAGAGTTAGAGATGACGGCAGACAGATGAGGTCTGGCTAAAATGAAATGAAAATGTGTTGAGCCTGGCGAGAAAAGGTTGATTTTCTGCCTGTGTCTGGATCAAAGAGAGAGGACTCAAGTGTAACTCAGTGAGACTTCACAAAACATTATTAATGCCATTTAGAAAAAGTTACCACAGTGGAACACAGTATTATATTAGTTTTATATCTAGTGAGATCTAGCATGTTAAAAAGAACAAAGGCATCAAAGTTCTGCACAAAACATACTGGGTCCTTACAATCAAAAACATGGTTTTGTGGCAAGCATCATTTGGTATATCATTTATCCTTATTGTTTTCATACGATAATGTATGTTTCCCTATATATCTGATCTGTACGCCACACTTTTGTAATCTACAGTACTTGTCTGTAGTGCAACATAAAATACTTGGTAGAGTGGACTCCAAAGAGATGTCTCCCATCTGTCTATAGAGCTATTGTCTTCGTTTTGTGGCTGTGACCACCAACATGACCCAATGGCTGTTGATGTGTGCACCATATATTGCACAAGGACTTATTCTGCTACACAGCTGTTTGAATTGCACTGATAAACACATTGTTATCGTCAACAAGTTGTGGTAAGCTCTGAGCAATGCAATATACCAGACTAGCTCTAAAAACACACAACTCGAAGTCAAGTCTTTTACATAGTGAAACCGTCATGACGTATTTCTGACTGAAGCGTATTTCTGAGGTATATTTTCCAAAATTATAGCCTCCATTGACCGATGCTTGCAGCACAGCCTAGCCCAGCCCTTGACCATAATGGAAAGCCATAGAAATGAATGACATCCTGCCCATGCAGGGAAACTATGATTGATGATGATGAAGGAGTTGCTCTTACTATTATACTGCATGGTTGCTCTGACACACAGCAGGGAAACTCTACAGTAAACAGACTCTGGTAGTGATTACAATGTGCCAGTTGATGTCAGGCTTCACTCAGTGATAGATCTGGACCAACCAAAGAATTACTTTTCCTCCTCAGATTGTTTCATTTGAAGAATCCGAGAGCCCAGGTTATATTTTTTGGGAAGTTAGGAGACATTCCTAAAAATTAGGGGCATGTCAGTCCCAACTTCAGAACCAATAAATTGATTGAACTGAATTGTATTAAACTGATTAAATTAAATGTTTAATTTAATTTGAAAAAATATTTCAATTCAATTTTAATGAATTGATTTAATATCATATAACATTTAATTAATTAAATTGACTTAGTTTAACTCAATTTTGTTTATTTAATTCAATACATCTGATTTGTTTAATTAAATTTATATTTTGAATTTGCATAAAACAATTTGATATAATTTCATTTCAATTTTGATTTAATAAAATTCTACTTTTCAGCAATTCAAATTGCTTTTGATGTTCACCATTTTACATGAAAAAAATTAATAAAAATAAATATTTTTTTCTTTCTTCCTCTGGTTATCTTGTGACTAAGTTTATCTAGGGAAGGATCGCCATCAGATATTGTGTGTCACGGGTTCCTGCAACAGTAAATACATCCATCTAGGCAGAAAACAGTCAGAAGAGGCAAACCAGGAAAATGTTTGGGGTCCATAAGGAGAAAAGGGGTCCCCGATGGCCCCTCATATTGGCACATTTTGCAATGACAACTATGAAACCTTTTAAACCTCCCATGTATACACTATGCAGTGCACTTTTGCTGCCCCAAAAAGCCCCCTAAGTGGGGCCCCTGATGATGTGTGCTCTAGCTAGCATCTACCCATTACCTGTTTATGAGGCATTTTGGGAACATCTATAAATCGAAGGTCTGCATGTGAGACATTTAGAGGACATCTGGAAATTGTGTGTGTGATTGCTACTGCATCTAGGGGGTGGACAAAATAACAGGAGTACCTTAAACTTAGCCTAAACAAATAAACACTATGATATATATATATACATATATATATATATATAGAACAGCAGAGTTTTAATCGACATCCAGCCTATCTGACATTCTCATCAAGATAGTCCAGTTGCAGGGCCCATCCCTTGCACTGTTTTGTAATGAGGTACAAAGCCTGCAAACAAAGAACTTAAATTAGCTGTCTTTTCTTAAATATCTTAATGTACATAAGCATTTTATTTTAAATGACAGTATGTGATATGACGGCCCTCTAAATGTAAGTTAATTCGTGCATGGAAAATTATAAATTATGAAAAAGAAATACTTCTTTCATTAGTAACTTCTGACTCATCTTGACTATCTAGATCGAGAGTGAGGCCTTAAATGTCATCTGAATACCTGTAATACTTGGCTGTAAAGACATTCCTCTATTATCTGCAGATACGAGATGCTTTCTTCTTCTTCGTCTGATCTTATTTAAAATGCAGCACACAACAATGTTTTTTGACAAGTCTGTGTAGTGAGGGTTATGTATGTCTGGTATGAAAGAGAGGAAGACCTTTTCTTGCTCCTTGACCTTTGACCTGCATTTAAGTCAAAGCCAAACAGGATGGAAAACAAGGTGTCTGTAAGAGAGTCAGACAATGCAATAGCAAGTTTTAGCAAGTGTGCATAAATGTTCTAGTTGCTTACAACTTTCAAAACTCTCATCACCTGTGGCTTCTTTAATTGTGTTTAGTTGAACCAACTTGGTCATATGGTGTTATTTAACCGGCAATCTCTCTGGCTTCACACCAAAATCTTCCAAAAAAATTTATAGCCTACTAAAATACAGATATGGTGTAGTAACAAAATCTCCTTTTTCGGCTTTCTTAAATGAATATGAAAACTATTTCTTGTCTGTCAAATAACACAGATTGTTTCATCTTCAAACTAAGACTTAAAGAGGACTTGTCACCACTTGCTTGTGAGAATATAATCCAAGGATAAACAGTGACCTCAGGAACGGTCACATTTTCTAACTGCAAGAGAAATGAAAATGTACCACCTGCAAGATCAACATGCACTTGTACTGCTTATATTGTACAGGTTACACAACTTCAATACACTGTTCATTTTCATATTTGGAAAAATGCACTTCAACATGCCCTGTAAAACATAAGAGATTTAGTTACTGGTATATTATTTTTTTTAATCATGCAACAGGCAATTCATAGAACTCAAATCAGCTGATTTTGTCCTAAAACACTAACAATCACTTCACATTTTGCACAACTTCTGGAAAAAAAATTACATTATGAATGCACTTGAAAGAACAGTGGCCCAGTGTTCCTCTGAATGCTCTCGCAGTGTCAGGAACTGGTCAAGCCAGATCTCTCAAAAGCCCAGGGCCACATCCTCACACAAGAATGAATTCACACTTTATCTCATGACTCACAACATCTTTTTATGGCTGAGACTCTCTACCCGATACAACCGTTGCACAGAGGAAACAAGCTGATCGCTCCCATTTCATTACACTCCAGTATCAGCTGTTGAGTGTTTGACAGTAGGTTGAGGGAGGAGACTTGAGAAGGGAGGGACAAGAGGATCTACCTGTCGAGAGGAAGAAATCTGACAGCAGAGAACCACTGCTATCCACTCAACAGTCTCAGGGGAGTATGGCTACTTGCTAAGGGAAATACACGCCCGTACCGGTGACGGTGTCTATCCATCGACTGGAGAGATTGAAGATCAAAATGGGTGGCACTATAAGTCAGAAGAAGAGCGGCAGCAGGCGAGCCAGCTCAAGGAGTCACACCAACAGTATCATGTGAGTCAATCCACTCACCTGTTTGATTCAGGTGTTACAGTGCATTACAGGAAACCTACTGTTGTTTGGTCTTTAAATTGTTGACTTAACACTTATGTTGCCTGCAGCTTAACTACTAACACAAGGCTTTTTAACTTTCCCACATTTCAGGTCAATATTACTGAAGTTGTACACAGTTATATTAATGCATGAAACTAACTATAACGTAAACCACAATAATGGACTTGTGGCTACACTATACATTCTTTTTCTGTTTAGCGTGAGACTGGCCTCTGTTTAAGTGTACACTTGCACACACGTGCAAATATTCACACACCCTCAAAATGAATCCACAGATAAGACTGCAAACAGATGGACTGTAAAATATCTTAGCTCACTGGCTTCACACAAGTGTTTGTATCTGTGTCTGTGGGCTTTTGAGCAAACACACCAATGACAATAGGATCTGATCTTACATAAGAAGCAGTGAATAAAATAGAACCAAAATGTTGAGTATATTCAAAATTCGATGTGTGACAGGATTTTAAAAAAAAGGGAGGGGGGGGGGGCAGTGTTACACCCAACAGTTGTGACTGGTTTAACATGATCAGTTCACAGGGTTGTCTTAACTGATCTGCAGTTGTCTCATCACAGTATGATCTCATTGTGAGAAATATAGCTTCACTGTGTCAATATTTGCTTGAGGCGATCCATGTCCTTTTTGTTCTGGGAGGCACAGTGGCAGATGTTCCCTCTGTAGGTTGGACTACAGACACATTGACTGTGAAACACTCAGTTTAATCTTTCAGTAACTACTACTCCTAGTGTTGTAGATAGTAAACATCCCACATTATCCACTCATTATTCAGTTATTCAGTGTTAAAATCATGGTGATGTGATACTTGTGCTCATAAGTGTTAAGTCAACAAAACCAGGATAAAAAATATTTGTTGAAGACCTATTTTTCACAATGAAAACTAAGACTGAAACTAAATAAGTTATGTTTGAAAACAAGAACTCTGATGAAATGTATTTCAGGATTTATTAACAGCTAAATGATGATGAAAGACAGACGAATGGACATGTTCCAACAACCTGTTTGCATCTGTGGATTCACACACTGTAGCTCCTGATTAACTGCTGCCACCTGTGACCATGGTAACTGTACACAAAGAGAGCAACAGCAGTAGCCTAAAAAAATCATAGATGACATAAAAATTAAAAATGTACAACATAAATGAGACTGAGGCACTGATGAAAACCAGACTAAAAAGTATTTAGTTTTTGTTGACTAAAACTAGACTAGAAGTCAATCAACAAAAATCAAATGACTAAAATAAAATAAAAACAGCATCAAAAGACTAAATCATTCGGTTGCCAAGATTTACACTGTGGTCAGATTCTGTTCTCCGCAGAACAAAGTGGTACTCAGAGAAAATCAGTTTAGATTCAATTTGCTGGGATCTTCAGCCAACACACCTAGGTACAAACTGAGTAACAATAACACTCAGCTCTTAATATCCACAATAAATATATGCACCCGCACTTATCCCTAACTTTGGCTGTCAGTTTGTGTGTTTGTGGTCTCAGTCTCTTCTGCTCTGACCCAAGCTTTGGGTGACTTGTTCTGTGTTTTGTGTGCCAGCATGTCAGGCTGGCATGAATCCACAAATCTCTCTCGGGCTTTCTCCCAGTTCTTCTGAGACTTTGATCTAGTTATGGAGACACTGTCTAGAGACATGGCAGCACCGGCCCCCAAACCTGACTGGGACTTTCTGATTTTCAGTTCAATCTGTGGGGAAAGGAATGAGAAAGAAAGAAAATCGAATCATATTATTGCTTCAGAGTACATCTACATATAAACACATGTGCCAATAAGACATCCCCAGCTTATAAAGCGGCCTTACCGGGTCCTTCATTCCAGTTCCCTCTTTGCCCAGTCCCTCTCCTTTCTTCCAGCCCATCTTTTCTAACATCTTCCGTCCTTTATTGACTTCACTGATCTCCCTTTGTGAGGTAAAACATAATATACGATTAAAACTTGCGTCCATCATTTCCATCCATTAGCAACAGTCAAGACAAGACTTACTCATGAACAGAAGCGGGTGCATCATCTCGTTGGAAAACCCCTTGACTGCCCACCGTCTGTCGTCGAGACTCTGCTCGGTCCTTGTATTTTGGGTTCCTCAGGGCTTTGGCCTCCTCATACTCAGTGCTCTGTTTACAGAAAAACACAGAGGTGACTGACTGCATAGAGAGAAGAAGAGGGTTTAAACTAAAACTGTCTGCTGCTAGTCCTGATGACACTCACCTGCAGGCCATATTTGGCCTTCATCTGCTTCAGCTCCTTCTGTCTTAGTGCTTCTTTATCCTCTTTGGTGAGAACAGGGCCTTTGGGGGAAAAAACTGAGAGTAAAGCCAAGTATATCACTGCTGTTTCATGAACCTATACAAAAAGCATTGTCCTTGTTTTTCTGTGGATGGGTCTCCTCTTCAGATTGCTCACCTGTCTTCTCCTCTCTCCTGTGCTTGCTGAGATGAGCCATCACCTGTCCAGGCTCACATCCATCACAGGTATCAGTGCCTGAGTGGATGTGGAAAGAGAGCACAGTCTCTCCCATCTTCACCTCATCACCGTGCATCAGTGCATGCGGCTCACATTTAGCTTTGGGCTGCAGAGGAAATATTCATTGATAAAGTGATTGCTAGCTTGATGTTTTCCTGTTTTATTTAGAGGCAGCAAACCGAGACAAAATGCTGACCTGTAAGATTCGGTTGCCATTGATGACTGTTCCGTTCTGGCTTCCCTGGTCCACCAACATGTAGCTCTGCTGCTCCTGGTCAAAGTACACCTCTGCATGGAACTGGAGCCAAACAGTTTACAGTTAGACACATCACATAACCCTGCATTACACAAATAAATTAATTAGATTCCTGGAGAAATATAAAAGTGAAAAGGGTTACCTTGCTGACTCCCATCTCTGGTATTCGGATTGCATGATCCATATCTTTCTCTCTGCAACAAGGTAGCATGTTAGCATCAAGCTTTCTGAGCCATTATGACATACAGGAAGACCAATTACTTATATTTTCACTCAGTGCAAGTACTACTTGTCATACTCCCAAAAAAGGTGTATTTTGTAATTCTTAAAGCCACATACAGAGCCATGACAGCTCAGTAATGGCAGCCTTGGCACTAACAATTCCCCATACTTGAACTAAATGCACACATTTTTAAGTCCTTGGTATGAAAGTTTCAAACTTTTGCTGTGATGGAGCTCATGTTGCTGCATGACAACAGAGAAAATTACACTAACCTGCCAATGGTGGCTGGAGAGTCGGCTGTGATGATGAACAGAGTGCCCACCTGCAGCACTGGAGACCTGACCACTGTCACTCTTACACAGGGCGGCCAAATGTCTTTGGCTGCAAGAAAAGTACACCAAAGTCATCAAGACATGTCACGATGGCCTCAGAGAGAGTGCTGGGAACTAATGAAACAATAAATCACTACCAGCTAAAACAATTTCCCGAAGAGCAAACAGTGAGCATGTGTGACGAGGCCAGGCGCTTCCTCTCACCTTCCTGACTCTGAGTGTCCATCTCTGATTCTGATTCTGGGCTTTCCTTGGAGGGGGAGCTAGAAGATGATGAGAATGAAGGAGTAGACTCCCACTCCTCCTTCTCTGACTCTGTGATCTCACCCTCTTCCGGTTCGCTGTTCCCCTCTGAGTCATGACTCCGAGCCGGGCTTTTTTTCTTCTTCCGCTTTGCAGATTTTGATTTTTTCCTTTTCTTCTTTGATCTTCCCTTATCATCATGGTGTGAACCGTTTTTCTGCTTCTTCCTCTTTGATGAAGATTTGTCATTCTCCTCCCGACGTGGAGCCGAATCTGCACTGCGAGACCTTCGCTTGAGTTTTTGTGATTCTGTGGTCCTCTTAGATGTTTGTAGTTCAACCCACTCAATTTCTTCTTCTTCCAACTTAATATCATCAGATATGAGTTCCTGCCATCAGACAGACAATGGTGTGATTACCACCTCCTGTGACGTTCACTGACAGCAGGCCGGCTGGCTTTGTAATGCAGATCCCGCATAGTGTTCTTATACATGGTCTCAGTCTTCAAAGACAATTCACCAAGTTACTTACTCAGTTGTCCAGATAGTAGTTTGTACCCACATTTATGCACAATGTCACTAAATCCTTGAGTCATTCAAGGTTTATGGCACAGTACAGAACAACTATTGATCACTTTAAACATGTAAACAGTTATTAGATTAAACTAAAAGGTGTTTGAAACATCCTACAGAATATTATTGAATATTTTATGGTTAAATTCCAGGACTTCACTTTTGTAGTTTTGTAGAGTGTAAGAGGTCACATCACGTTTAAATACTATTAGAGGTGTAGCTTGTATGGATGTCAGGAGCTGCTGCCTTTACTTAAACTGCCTAAGTGATTTATTTTGTTAATGGAATCTGTAAAAGGCCCTTTGTGATGGCAAAGGCTATTCAGGTTAAAAATAACTACAAACATTTCCAAATGCTTTACATGTTGGTATGAAGAGTGTACCTCTGTGGGAAGCAGTATTCCAGTATGAGGAAATCTTCATTTTAGCCAATGAGCTAGTCACCTCTTGCACCTAGATCAGAGGAATAGTCTTTTAGGGAACTAGTCTCAAATGAATACAAAAAGCAGGTGTTTGAAGACTGAGACCAACAAAGTCAAGAGGATTTTTAAGGTGAACTACAAAGTCAAAAGCCAGCTGTCAGCCACAAAGAACAAAATGACTCAATGTCATACATCAATAAAAGTTCTAGTTGTTACATACCTTATCATCCTGGTGTGACGTTTTCTTGGTCCCTTTCTTGAACTTCCTGCCTTTCTTTTCAGCAGTGTTTTTGTCCGAGCAGGACTCTGCACCAGTCTGTGCAGCAGGCACCTCAATCCTGGAATGAAACTGGTATCGTCCGCTCTCTGCATCGTAGTAGTAGTAAATGCCTGTGTTGGCATCGTAGTACAATTGACTGGCCTGAGGAAGAGAAAATAACATGCATAAGATCAAATGACTGGTACATAATGTCTGTCAAAAAAATCCTAAATTGATGCTGAAATTAACTGCGCTGTAACAATCAAAGTTTAAAGTAAAAGTGCTGACGAACCGAGTCGTAGTAGAAGCCTGTGCTGTGATCATAGTACATCCCAGTTGTCTCATCAAAGACAAACCCAGTCTGTGTCATAGCCTCCTCAGCAGTGGCCCTCAACATATCGGCTATGGATCCTGCATCACCCTCCTGGAAGAGACAACATCATATATTTATCTCATATTGTGAACTGAAATGTATGAACTCAATTTATACACAACCACAGCAGCATGACGTTATTTCAGTATTTGGGGATACTGTTGAAAAAATTAGCCAATTGATCAATGAGTTGAACCTTCAATACTAGTTCAGATTTTTTTTTGAGCCATTCATATAGTAAAAACACCAAATATTTGCACTTGCATTTCTGCTTTTAGTAACTTTTTAACATAGCTAACAAATAATTAACTTTTTAATAAAACTGACCTCTGTTGTGGCTTTAACACTGCTGTCAGGTTGACCTGACTCATCAGCAGCTGCTGCTTCGTTTGGTGTTGAAATCTCTGCAGCCTCGGTGCCAGCAGCTCCATCCACCACTGCTGCTGCTGCTGCTGTGTTCGGGCCTTCTTGAGTGTCTGCTGCCTCAGAGTTTTGACAGTAGCTTCCGTAGTAGTAGTTGTAATAATCTGGAAGGGAATATCAAAAAATTTGCAACAATTTTTTTTCACTTTCTGACAAACTGATATGGTCATCCAATGTAATTAATGTGCAATTGAGCGTAACACACCAGTTTCTGTCCATACGTATTCTTCAGTCTGAGTTTCACTGTTGACTCTGTCTTTATCTTTCTTCTTCCGCTCATGAATCTCTGCACTGAGCTGATCAACCTGAAACAATATATTTCAGATGAATTCAACTGTCGGACACACCTGAAACACCAACCACAACAACATGATTTAATGTCAGTTTGATTTATTTCAGGGTTTTCTGGGTGTGAATCACCACGCCTATGAGAAAGATCACTCCACTTTACACATTATATAAAATGTATAGACTTTTATGAATTAAAAAATTAACCATTAGAGAAAAGGCAGCAAATGCCACAGATGTTATATGGTTATTAGGTTATTAGGCTGTGATCTGCTAAATGTCTTAGGATCTGGGTGGCTTACCACCTCCACTAATCAGTTCCCTGGGGGAAACCTGTATTTGACAGGGGTGTAATGGAATATCAAGCATCATGGGATCAAACATTTCCCTGTGGGTGAATAAAGCTACATCATATATCATCTGGGTGACATTTCGATTTTCAATTATTCAATCAGAGCTGTAACAATCATTTGATGAATCAATTAGTCGACTGACAGAAAATCTCAACTATAATGATAATCGATTAACTGTTTATGTTGTTTTTTGAACCAAAAATCCCCCAAAAATGATCTGAATGATATAAGTTCTTAAATGTGTGGATTTGCTGCAGTAAATTTCAATGTTTTGAAGACATTTGTTATCTTGAATTCCCAGATATTGTGACAGTATTTTCTTTTTTTCTTTACGGTTTTGTGATGTTTCATAGACCAAATAATTAATCATATAATTATAATAAAAATTACTTGTCAGAAAAACCAATACTAAAGATCATCCTTAGCTGCAGTATTAATTTTTTTAATAGTTTGGACAGATCCATTCAGACTAATGTTTAGCGACCAAAACGAGGCTTTACCGTATAAATTAATACCTTTATGCGTTGACAGACAGACAAAATAGATATCCTCTCAGCTAAACAACCATACTGTAGAGGACAGCTCTAAACAAGCTGAACTGAAGTGTGTGGACTGGACATGGACTGACCTGTTTCCTCAGGTCTTCATTGTAGCTCTCTGTGCTCCTCTGCAGTCTTTCAGACTGGTTCAGCTGCTTCTGTAACTTCGCCAGCTCGGCTCTGCACTCTTTGAGCTCCTGCTTCAGGGAGTCTGCTTTCAGACGTAGCTCAGCTACTTCAGACGTAGCTTCCCTGTCTCCATCTTCGGTCTCCATCAGTTCAACTGAAGATGTTGATATTAAAGTGTGTAAGTCATTCACGGAGTCATAGAGATAATAACGACTGCCAGCTAATCGGTCTGCTAACGTTAACTACTGGACGCAGTACACCAGATACATGGGTTATCACACAGACACTGAAATATCAAATACCAATTAAAGCTCTACAGCTACAGGAGCACACTGAAATGTTTAGTAATAGTGACTGGGCTACTGCATTACACTGCTCTCCTTACCGTTTCTTTCGTTTTCTCCTCTTTGGCAGTATGTTTTCTGTCAGCACGGCACGTGAACCAACCTGAAAGTTGAAAATAAACATCTTGTAACCAGCCTGCATTTCCGACACAGTCGAGAACATGTTTTGAAGAGAATTAGACAGTTAGAGTTATAACCGTGGAAATGTTTACAGTCCACCCTGTTCACGACCGCCATTTACTACAAGCTACGAGTTAACACGACACAGCGGAAGTACTTCTTCTTCGGGTTTGGCGGACTTCCTTTCCCTCTGTCAATCCGCCACATCACGAATAACTTTACCGCCGCCTAACGGCAATCCATATTCATGGTTTTTAAAAATGACAATAAACCAGACACTCTGCTTTCATCTTTTACATTTTCTTCCACTGAATTTCTTTAAAAATAACCCGACATTGATTTATGTTTTTGATGGTATAAGTTTTCACTATGGAGGCCGGCAAGCAACATAAAAAACTAAACTGTACTCTCATTTTTGACACTCTCCCACTACTTTATATTTGTAGGTAAATATTTGCATATGGTGCAACACTGAGCATTTTGAAAAATTATAAATGAAGTTGTGTATTAGCTGAGTTATACCCTAAAAAAAATAGTGGAAGTGAATCGAAGTGAATCATTTCATAATCCATAGACTGTGAATGTCATCACAATGGATTCATGTGCAGTATGTCAGTGGGCAGTAGTGTGGGTTATGAGTAAGGTCTGACTTATATAAATATGAATGGGCCTGCACACATTAATGTATTACACCGTGCAATAGTGAACATGTTGAATATGATTGGGGTTTGTATAATAGATGTCATATCTTTATTTTAGGTTTGCATATGAACATTGGTAATTGAGTATTTTAACTGCTGATGTTATCAGAATATGTAAACAGCATTTTGTGCAATTGTTATTTCTTATTAAGGTACACAGTCCAGGTGTTATTATCCTCTTTGACCACTAGATGTCAATGCAACATACTGATTCTGCCATCTGACAGCTCAGAGTAGAACTAGGAGGAACACTATTGCCTATCCAGTACTATTGAGACTGGAGAAGTGTTTACACGCATTTCTGGCAGGATGTGATCATAACTCATAACATAACATTTTCTGCTAGCTGATAGCAGTTTTTTCTGCTGGCTGAGGAATGTTTGTTTCATGTTGTTCAGATTTTGTTATTTCCAGCTGTCCATATTTGCTTTTTGGGAGCTGACATGTTCCCTCATTGTTTTAATAAGGCAGGGATGAGGACTACTACAGTACAGCTACAACATAGGCAAGTTTTTGCTCACATCGTCTCTGTCAATGACCCTTGCTCCATTTGTGCTTTGCTGTTCTTCAAACACATCACTATCCTACTGGTCACATTTTGACTCACTTCCTCCTCCTCTTCTGTCTTTTACTTCTCCCCAATTCTTTTTACATTCATTAATTTCCAGGAACCTCTGCTGCATTCAGATAGCTTGCTGACACTTGCCAAGACCAGGCCATCTCTCTGTGTCTCTGCTCTTATTTCGGGCTCCAGAGGAAGGGCTGTTATGTAATACTGTGGCTCGACTATTGTCCTCTAAAATTAAAACACATGGTCTATTTATGGCAAGAGTGTATTATACAGTATTATACTGTAGACACAGTGTAAATATACTATTTGAGTATGAGCACATTTTATCCTTGTACTCTGTCAGTACAGTCCACTTGAGCTGTGAAGTTACAGAACAGCCTTATGGGAAATATATTGTTACTGGGTGTTAAGACACACAATCACTCTAAGACTTTACATAAATGTGTCATTAGTCACATTAGAGACAGACACAATTTGAATTGCTGAGAAAAACTCCACAATAAGTTGGGGAAGCCAGATTGTTTTTCCTTCTAGTTTTAGGGACTTTCTCAAAGATTCCTTTCAGGTTCCTCCCACTGTGTTTGAAATCCGAGTTCTTTTGAGTTGTGTTTGGATTTTGGTGGAGTGTCAGACTTCTTGGCAGGAGCCCTGGTATAGCTGTGGTGGTGGTGGTGGTAGAGCAGCCTTTAAGAATGGGTTGGTCTTTTATCTGGAGACACACACAGCCGCCTCACGATACCTACTGATGTTTATTGATGCCATATTTAGACTAGAAAAGCACCAGTCGTCTGTGAGTACGACCAGCAGTTTGGGAAAAAGAAAAGAAAAAAACACTGGCATTTAGTTCAGCATTTTGAGCAACAATTTGTTATGATTTCATGTTAGTGATGGTAATAGGAATGCTTTCTTATGTAACCTACCAATCCTTGGCTTTTTCACTGGCCCTTCATCAGTAGTGCAGAGTCATTTGTAGTAAACAGCGAGACCATGGTAACAAAGTCTTTAATGCTTTTTCAGCTTTCAGATTGAAACTTATTCTTAAAAAATGTAGGAATGATGTAGAAAAAACACCACTATCACACCTTCCTTCTAAAGTTTCTCATCTGCTTCAGCTTTATCTGTTGATCACATATGACCTTACTGTTGTTTCAAGAATTATTGACCAGTATTACCACTCATAACACATCGGAAGACAGTACCCTTTTGTTCTATTAAGCCTGAGCTACTGAGGGTCTCCGGTGTGGCTCAGTAACTTCAAAAACAGGAAAGCCTGGTGCTTTTGTGAGCAAACATTTTACAGACAAGAAAGAGATACTAACTCCTCAGAATAAAAGCACAGGTTGATCATCATGCTTCAGTGACAATCTCTTCCTTAACTACTACCTTCACATGATCAATGCATGCTAGGATCCCTATCTCCCTCTACCCAGCCCCACGAGCTCCAGCAGACCCAGACAGTAAATAAGTGGGCAGAGAACAAACTCCACCCTTTCTGGTCAAATGTGGAAACTCTGAGGCCGACTGTGGCATGTGTGTCTCTGCTCCTGGATGGGAATTTGGGAGGAGTTTAGCTGCTGTGTGGCCAAACTAAACCTTTGAGTTTCTGGCACTGGAGCTGCACAGAGGATGCATATTACATGTATATCAAAGCACAAAAACATCAGCTATTTGTAAGATATTTGTTGATGTCCAGTGTACTATTCATGTCTCTTAAATCCATGTAAGTTGATTTCAACTTGTAAATGGTTTTTCAGTCTTTTTCAATGGGGTTTGTCCGTGTCATAATATATGAGACTGTTCACTTTGACATAATAAACATTTTTTATGTTTTATCACTGGTCTTGCCTGCAAATTAAAGATTGGATTCACCTTTTTTTCCAATCTATCTTAATGAAATATTCATTTGTCCAGTGAAAGAGTTATCAGACATTCAGTGTAATCATCCTTTCAATACTGGCCATTAAGAAAATCCACGGTATATTCCTCTCGATAATGGCTACTGATATTGATATATTTAGGTTTAGAAAAATACAACAACATTCCTAATTAACATAAAGACATTGCATACATAGATTTTTTTTAACATTAGATTACATTTGATTTACAGAATGAGACATTTCACTGTGTTAAAATCAACTTTTTGCTCTCTAATAGAAATACCTGCAATAACCTAATATCAGTTTTAGAGTGAAATTCCCTCTTTTTGTTTGTCCTCATTGTGTGCCCTCGCTAAACTGCAGAGTAGGCACAGTAACAAAAAGAGGTAATTTTGTACTAATAAGAGTGTAACCTTTTAAGATGCCCATTGACTAACTGCAGCCGCTGAAGCGTCATGTTTGCTTTGGTTAATCTTTGGAATGTATTTTGGCCCAGTGGACTATGGATCTTTTACAGTGGAACAGCATTAACAGGGGATATCCTTACAGCCAGCATGGACAGGAGGAGTGATTATTGTGATCAATATCTCTATCGGTGCACACATGGGTATGTGAGTTTTACTTTAAGATAGACTTGAAAAAAAGAATTGATTTTTTTCTGTAGGAACGGAAGCTGTGTCCTCTTTGAAGCTCTCGTATGTCTTTCATTTTGGCATTGGAAACTCACATATTAAATAGGTGGTTGGTAGATTGACTTTACAGCTGATAACTGCTGCTATTTGGCATTTACTCAAATACAAACCACCTTTAAAGCAGTGTGTCTGGTTGTGATTATGCTGCTTCTCTTTTTCTATTATGTGTTTTTTCCTTTGTATGACAAGTGTCCCTTGGTTTACACAGAGAGTCCTCCTGTTGACACTAGTGGGTGGCTTTGGCTTTTTTTTTGGCAGCATTAGTTTGTCATGCTGCTGAGGTTGTTTCAGACACACCTCATGAGTGATGTCATGCCCTCTTTCCCTACAATGTACTCAATGACATTCACAATGTACCTGTGACAGAAGGTTTTTTACCAGCCATTACTGAGTGCATTAAAGAATATGGTTGCCTGTTAGTTCAGTGGTCTAAACTGCTACCTCAGACATATTGAATCCAGGCAGGTAGATAACCTGAGGCTATACCAACAGAACCGGTTCCCCTGGTCATGCATGCCTGCCACTGGATATCACACTTAACTGTTGAACAGCCTGGGGGAGCAAAGAAGGCTTTAAGATCCAGCCCCACATTCCTAACCTCTCTCTGGGCTATAAAATGTGGAGCCCCAACAGTTCAGCTCCTCCTCCTCCACCTCCTCCTCCCTCTGTGTTTGTTTTCTGACTCCCTCATTCTGCTTCAGAGTGGAAGAGCAGCCTGACAGGGAAGTACCATTCTCCAACCATAGGGGAACCCGTTTAGCTGAGCATAGAAAAGCTGCATTCAAGCTTCCTGCCTACCCCCCCTCTGCTTTTTCTGTCAGTGGACTGGCCTGATGTGGAAGGGAGAGGTTGGAGGGGGTTCAGAAGAGGAGAGAGTGAGAACAGCATTTTGGAAACCAGCTGATCAGAGCTGGGGTATTCTGCCACAGGGGTGGAGGGAAGGGGGATCGTGACTAGAAAAAAGAGAAGACGAAGAAGAAGAACAAGAAGTCTTTGTGATTTTTAAGACTGAGAAAATACAAATAGAAGAGCGGGAAAGAAATGTCTCCCTCCTTTAATGAGAGGCTGGGAACTCATGTGAAGAGAGAAGCCCTGTGGAAAGATGTGAGAGCTGTTGGCAGGGTGGAAATCTGAGGAAGAAACACACAGAGAAGGATCAGTCCAGCGCTGGAAAACAGCCCTTGCTGTCTGTGATTCAACTGAGGGGTTGAGGAACCCCAGTGGAAAGAGAAGTGATGTCTTGGCTGTCACCTGTGTCATGGGCCAAATGGACGTGGACGGCAGTGCGAGGGGGAGAGGGAGAAGAGGAGGATGAAGAGGGGCAGGAGGCCAGCGAGGAGAGGGAGCAACGTGGAGAGAGACGAGAGGAAGAGGAGGAGGAGGAGGAGAGATCTCAAGGCTGCAGGCAAGTGTTGTGCTGGAGCCCGGAGACTACTGACACTGTGATTCACACTGTCTGGACTGAAGGAGAGGGCATTTTTACATATGTGTGCATGATTGTGTGCATAAATGTGTGTGTGTGTGTGTGTGTGTGTGTGTGTGTGTGTGTGTGTGTGTGTGTGTGTGTCTTTATATGTCTACCTGTCAGGCTGAGGAATCTCTATGAAGGTTCGATGAAATGGACAGAGGAGGAGAGGAGAGAATGGACATTTGGTTGTTTACATGCAGAAATGCATTATGTTGTCATGCAGCACTTACACAATTTCTGGAGTGGCTCTGGTTCAGAGTGTGACAGTGTCTGAACAGAATGTTTTTTCTCAGCCCCACCAGTATGTCCTCATTTCTGTGGCTTTACAGAAAGCACACATTCCGGCACTGCAGTCAGGTGCAGTTTAGTTTAGTGATGTAATTACTGCAAACACACAAAGACGACACATGCTCCAGGCGTTTGTGTCTTTGATAAGATTGTCATCTTGTTCATTGTTCTCAGTAGACACCAAGATTCACAGCTACTTTAACATTTTATTGACCAGATACTTTATCAACTATACCCTGGAGTTTTAAGTCATTAAATGCCAGAATCCATGTTTGTTTATTTTTTCACTAACTCAGCAGATCAGTAATTATTTCCACAGAGTAATGTTAATATCTGCTAACGTGTGATGTAGCTTCCTGAAGTGATCAGATCAAATCGAATGCCGTCACACATGCAATGCTGAAATCACAAGTTGGTGTGGGAAAGCAACCATGTACTATATATTTCAAATTGTATTCAGGTGCAGTGCTCCCATTTTTATTTAAAATGAATATAGCATTAATTGTTTTGTTAGTTACAGTCTTATAATTCAGGATGTGCTGTGTAACAGGAAATAGTAAACTGCCCTATACTTCCTCTTCCTCTATATGTCTGTTACATTATCTATATTTTACTCTTTTCCCATCGCTGGCATGAATCAGATAGTACTGGTACAACGTAATTTGCACATGACACATAAAACTAAAGATATCAGATTGTGTTTATGATCACATTCAGTCCATTTCACGTTTAAATGCAAAACATATTGACAATGTTATGGCATCATCCCTTGTATCAGTGTTACCCAGACTGGGAGATTGGCAGACAGACAGATTTGCTTTTTAGGATCACAAACCATGTTGCCATGAATCCTATGGAATCAAAAAATATCACTGTATGATTCAGTTGGTTTGTGATGGAATAGAAATAAAGAAGTATATTTGTCCATATACTTGCACATATTTCACATTTTAATGCATTTAAAGCAGAGGCCTGTTGTAGTTCATAATTCACTATTCACAAAATTCACCTAATTGCCTTAGGCTTCATTAGTTTCTATATCACCTGCTCTGACTATTTGGAATATGATCACTACTCAGTTATGTAAGGATTTTTCTGTTTTCTTCTCTCAGCTTTCAAATGTTTGGAAAGTTCATGCTCCTTCTCTCTCTCTCTCTCTCTCTCTCTCTCTCTCTCTCTCTCTCTCTCTGTCTGTGTCTCTATCTGACTACCACAGCTCTGACTCAGAGGGTCATTTTGACACTCCTGAAGCAGCAACTCCTGTCCGCGCCCCGCCGCCCATCCCAGGAGAGCTGGAGAACAACAACACTGATGCAGAGAAAACAGGTGAGACCACTGCTGAACAAATAACACACAGACGGAAAAAGACAAGGGGAGACAGCTGACATAAGTCGTCCCAGACGTAAACATGCTACAGTAAGACCTCTGGGAAACTGAAGGTTCTGATTAACATTACAAATACTGAACAGAACGGAAGAAATGCCTTTTCAAGTACACTGCACATATAGCCTAACAGACAGTGTCCCTCCTGGAAGTTGCCATGGAAACAAGTCTTTTGATGTTGCACACATGCACAGACATCACGTGTTTGCATGTGAAAACAAATCTTTAATATAATCCTTTTAAATAGCACATGTGGGCATTTATGAATTCCACTACTGTGTCTGAACTGTGTGTATGGTGTATCAAGTTCACCATGCCAGAGTAATTGGATACATATGCAGTCTGTTGTCTCAGGAATGTACCCACCTACTGCTGTTCAGCTTTAAATAATAATTTACCTGCCTTTTTTTTGACTGGGCGTACCGTGTCAGATTTCCTGTGTATTAAATGCCATCAAATGCACAATGCAATGTTTTATTACACGTGCATAATACTCAAGCACTCCTGCATGCTTGGTATGTAAGTTGGTATGTACACTGAGTTGGGATTCTGGGTGTGATGGTGGCGGAAGAACTGTCATTGTCATTTGAATACTAAGAGGAGGAGTCTATAACAGAGTGTGGGAATGGCCTTTGCTCTGGAATTCAACAGGTTCAACAAAAGCTCTGGTTTGCCCTGTTTTGTATTGGTCACTGATAGAGGTCAGTGAGGGGAGTGACTGAACAAAGCTTGTTATCAGGCAGAAACCATCATGCAGCCCTCTTTTTAGGGAGGATTGTCTTGGAGACCATGCGTTGATGTGAAGCTGCTGCTGTTTTGATAGAATTAAGACTTTAAGGTAAAACAGTTCCAGAAACGTTTCACTGAAGTGTACAACAAGCAAAACGGAGCAAGGGGGAGTTCACTTTTGTTTCAACAGCAAACAGTCCTTCCTGCAGCTGTGGGAGGAGGAAGTTTGAATCTTGGCAGACAGGAGCTGAAGAGCCACTAGAAACTGCTCTGAATGTAAACATGCTGATGGCTATGTTTGTCTAGGTGAGCGTCTGCCCATACATGATGACACTTTATAAATATTTAATAGGTAGTTGAAGACTGACAAAAAAGACCCCAGACTTCAAATTGATAACGTGAACAGCTCGATACTCACAACGTTTTGTTTTCCAAAAATCTAACAACTATACACAGATATGTAGTACTGTTTGCTCATGAAAAATCATAAAAAATGGTAAACATGCAAAAATTTCATCTTTGATTATTCAAATTGGACAAGAGGATTGGTGTATGATTGCAAACAGGCACTGCAGCTGAATGACCTTTATCCTTGCTGTGACATGTTCTGCCTTTATACAAACACAGGAGTGAGAGAACAAAAAATAGCTTTATAGCAAAACATGGTACTGAATATGCATGTGGATATTGACGAGGACATGTTTGCATGGGCATGTTGGGTGGCAGGAGTACTTTGGCAACATGGAAGCAGGTAGAAACACAGCAGGCTGTGCTAGTCTCCTAGCAACATAATATTACATGAATATGGCGAGTATGACAGGCTTACTGAAATATGTTGATGTGTCAATAGGGGCCCTGGAGGTAATAATAACACCACACAGCACCCGTTGCCGCTATTGCCCACAACACACAACAGAAAATGTATCAAAGTGCATGTCTATGTTTATTTTCTAATGCATTTCTTTAGTTTAAATGTGATGGCCCTCATAGGAAGGCATCGCCATGGCAACAGCAGCAAATGGAACAGTTGGCTGGCTAGTAACCTGCTTTCAGAGAGCCAATCAGATATCACCTTCATCTGAGTTTGGATTTGATTGGAGAGACTGTTTTTTAGGGTTAATTCTGGTGTTTTTCTCTCATTTCTTCTTCAGACTTGGATCAGGAGGAGCACCTGATAGTGACTGCTCCTGCCAGGGATCTGGATATTTTGCTCAGACACAACATGGGTCAGGATGAACCTGCTGTCCACATGGGTGGCCCACTGGAAATAAACATGCAGACGCTAGACACAGAACAAGAAAAGAATCTTCCAGAAGCTTTGGGCTCTGTGCCTGTCCCTGATTCATCCTCAATGAAGGAAACTCCTGAAGTGGCTAAATGCACAGCACCACCCTCTGAGCCATCCCAAGCACCAGTCCCAATCCTAGTCAGAGATCCTGTCCCGGATCTGGCTCCAGCTCCAGCTCCCGCCCCCGCTCTAACCCCAGAGCCAGACTCAGTACAGAGCAGTGAACCTGCACCAATCCAAGCTCTGGAGCCCCCTGAGGAAAAACCTCTTGCAGTCTCAGAACCAGAGTGCAATGGTCTCCCCAACCAGACAGAACCTATTCGAAAGACTAAAACCAGCAGCAAATCTAAGCCTCCATCTCTGAAAATGAAGGCCTCGATGAACGAGCTTGCTCAAACAAATGAGGAACAAGAACTTCCTGTTCCCAAGGCCACATACAACTTTGACCCTGACCAGCTGGATGCCGCTTTTAATCCCTTTACCAGCGGTGGATCAAAAATTCAAAACTCTCCTCCACCTTGCGGTACAAACTCTCTACCCAGACTGGAGCCAATTGGTTGCTCATTGCCTGATTCTGAGGCCAGCTCAGCAGCTCCAGCAGATGCAGAGGTGACAGAGTCTTCATCAGGGGCGAAACCTGTGATGCTGGAGTTCGGTCTGGACGAAGGGATGGTCAGCAAGCCACCTCCAAGGAAATTAGGTGGAAAAAAGACAATCAGCAAACTCGCAGCTAAGAAGCAGAGGCCCAAAGGATCAGAGGCTTCCTGCAAACCTGCGCCAGAACCCACAGTGTCAGAACCAGTTTCTCAACCAGTACCAGAACCAGTTTCCCAATCAATATCAGAACCTGTTTCAGATCCTCTTCCAGAAATTTCTTTGCCAGTTTCAGACTCTTCAGCACCTGTGAACCTTGACGATGTTCCTATTCCTAAAACCGGAACATATAACTTTGATCCCAGTCAGTGGGATGACCCGAACTTCAATCCGTTTGGTAGCAATAATAATATGAGCAGCTCCCCAGTGCTCCCTAAAGGCAGCTACAGCTTCAACCCAGACAATTTTGATGACTCTGTGGACCCTTTTAAACCCTCCAAAAGCCTGAACACTGAGGACTCGTCCAGTAGCACCACTGAGCCTGAGAAAAAAGTAAAAGATGGAGGCAAACAGAAAGCAGGGCACACGCCTAGTGAGAAGAAAGTAAGGCAGATTCCCAAGAAAGGCAAAGAGAAGACAGCCACGTAAGTCTACAGAGAAATGGCTTGAAAATTCCCATCCATATGTTTGTAATCTTCCTTTCTTTCCTATGATGTTAGAAATTTAAAAATTCAAATTTCAGTTTGGGGCTGAGGGTGTGTGGATGGATACCAAACAATTCTTTGAACCCACGCCAAACACTGCACACTAACTACTGACGCAATTCCCGAACAGGTTATTTATAGGCTGTTAAAAGTGCTTATAGCTGCAGTGCTCACTCTACTTTAAGCTTTTCAAGGACTGTTGGCATCTTGTGTTTATGCTCAAACTTTAAACTATCTGCTGAGTGCCTAACATGCTGAGCTGAACACCTCTAGTCACTCACTCGCTCTCCTTTGTCTCTTCCCCCTGTTCTATGCTCCCTTATTAAAACCCTCCCCATCTCTCGCTGTATCCCCTTCATCCCGTCATTCCTTCCTCCTCGTGTCTGTTGCACAACCCCCAATCTCTGCTTTCGTCTACTTCGCTTGGCCTCAGGACATCTGAACAAGTCAAGCTTCTCTGTTTTCTGTTGTAAGTACTCTCACTATCGACGCTCTCTTTCATGCACGCTTTGTTTCCCATTTTACTCCCATCATGGCATGTGCTATGTCTGAACTGACTTTTGAAGGGAGCATGTGAGGGAAATGAATGTCTTCCTCAGTCTCAAGTCCATCCCCTGACACATTAGCACTTTAATTTTGTCCTGGCTTGTGATCTCTCCAGGCAACACCAGCATGGTTATACATGTATGTTGCTGCACCTCTTTCGATATAGGGCAATGCAACACAGCACAGAAATGTTTACAGCTTTGTGGTTGTAGAAACAGTGAAAATAACATAATGTCTTTTATCGATTACTCATTTTTCAATACATAGATTCTAAGTGATATATTGTCATCGTGTGTTTGTTTTGTAGGAATTCCTGTAAACTACAGAAATATGATGAAAGCCAGTCCTTGGTGCTTGACGTGTGTAATCAGGTAATGTGTGTATCTGGCTGTATGAGTGGCTGTATGTGTGTGTGCAAGTGTGTGTAGTTGTGTCAGCTGAAATGTTTCACCTTACTGCGGTGACACTGCAATGACCATTATTCAGCAGCTGTCCAACCTCTTGGCCTCACCTCTTAACACACACACATACACAGTAACACAAGCTGACAGGGGCATCAGCAGCGTCTCCAGCTCTGCAGTGCTGGCTTGGCACTGTGGCAGATCTGTGACTTATCACGCCGCAGTCTGCTGCTCCCACATGCCCCTCAACATTATCACCTCCTTCATTCTCAGGAGGTATTGTATTATCAAGATATTGTATAGCTCTAGAGTACCTAAGATACCTTAACACAATTGGTCGTGGCCTTCAGTGTTATCTTACTGTAACCTCCCTGGTGTAAAGCAGTTGGAATATATTAACTAAACACTATAGTTTCACTGGATCTCTTGGGCAGTGATAAATGTCTAAACTAATCTACTGTAGCCACATTTGTTCATGAAAGGTTTCAATCCACAACTGTACATATGCACTTTGTATACAATAGAAAAAGTTTTTATTTAACCTACAAACTAAATGTCTTTGTCTTTGACTCATTACAGAGTCACTTTTTATGGAAGCATATCACATAAGTGTGAAATAAAAACCTATTGTAATGTGGGCCATATCTTGCTCTCTTGTCTCCAGGAGGAAGATGGGGTGGTGGTTCAGACCCCAGAGATCACTCAGCGGGTTCATCACGCCACCGATGAGGAGAAGTTGGCCTCCACTGGCATCATGGGCCAGACAACAGATAGCCAGGAGGAGAGAGGAGAATCTGAATGCAATAAAGCACCTGCAAAAAAACACCCAGTTGATGAAATATCCATTAGGGATGGTATGTTTCTCAGTCAGTCTCAATTGTGTAATATTTAAGACTTTTTTGATATGGGTCAGCTATGACTTAAGATTTTATTAAGTCAGAGGAAGTCTGGTGACATTGCAGGTTGCCAAGAGGTTATCAAGTTCAATTGTTATTTGGACTGGGTGCTAGATAACAGTCACAAAGAGCACCCGGGCTAAAGAGGAGATTCAGTTGAAGAGCTCTGACAAGTGTGCGTGTGTGGAAAGCTTGTTTTTGTCAAGTGACGCAAACAGCACTAGCAGACTAAATTATTTTATCCACAGTCAGACACATCTGTTCGCTTTATTCCACCTGACCTTCTCAAGTTCCCCTGTGATTTTAGATCAGAGTATGCATGGTGCAGGGTGTTGGAGAAGTGAGGTGCAAGATGAATTGGAAAATGCGAACAAGGAGAGAAATTCACTTACATAATTTTTTCAACAACTACTGTTGGAGTTTTGGAGACTGCAACGTCCCAAGAATGTGTCAGAAGTTAAGAAGAAGAAAAATGGAGCATGCATGCTCAGCACACCCCTGTCCTGAAAATAAGAAAGTTATAAATATTACACTGGGGAACAACTGCTTCCCACAGTTGTAAAATCAGTCTGTGTCAGTGGTGGAAGTATCACACATAAGACAATCTAATGAAACCTAGACAAATAGAGCCCAAATCCTTATTGCCAAGTGCATTTTTGTATACACTGTATGTATTGTCACTGAATTATATGTTTTTTTTCTCCTTAAAGGTCCTGATGTCAAGATTGCAGATCACCAGGAGGAGAAGAACACATGCAGTCTGAAAGATGATATAGTAAGTACCATAGGAACCAGAGGCAGGGAGTAATAACATGACCAGCTTGTTTTTCACCATCTGGCCTTCATTTCAATTGGGAATAAGTTAGTTTAGCCATTATTGGAGTCCTACTTTTTTATTTTGTCATACTGAGATAACAGTTGGCTTGTGTTGCAGTCTGATGCCCCACCAGCTATTTTTGCCACATGAATCGAATAGTTTTTACTTAGATAACTACTATTTATCTAAGATAATCATACTTGCAAATGTGGGGCTGTACAAATGTTTGACTTATGAATGCAACACAAATGTGAGCAGTTTTTCTAGTGCACTCTCTGCAGAGACATCGTGTCACGATGGGTACTAATATCTGAGTTGTGTGCTGCCATCTGGGATCTGTTTCCAACATATAAGGATCATGGATGTTTGTGTCAGATCTTGTTGGACTGAGCACACGATGCGTTTTCTGCCACAGTGTGAGATATCCACAAACCAAACAACAAAGGTAGACAGCAGTGATGTCACGGACACAGCAACCCTGACCCAGGAAAGCATACCTTTGAGTGAGATGGACAAGGCTGCAGTGCTCACTCTGATCAGAGAAGAGGTAAACTATGTCAAACCCACAAACCCAGCGAAGTGAATCTGATGCTGATAACCTTATTAGATCTAAATGCATCAGCTAATTTCTTTTTCTCTTCATGCCTCGTCTTCCAATCAGATTATCACTAAAGAAATCGAGGTCAATGAGTGGAAGACAAAGTTCGAGGAAAGCAGAGCAGAGGTTTTTGAGATGAGGTACGTAGCTTCATTGGTACTCCGGAGCCTTGCTTCCTGTTTACAAAACATTCCAGCACAAATGTAGAAAAATATGAATGATTTAGACCAGCAAGCTGACAGAGGACTGCTTTCTGCTCATATCTCAACAGGAAAATAGTTGCAGAATATGAGAAGACAGTTGCACAGATGATTGGTAAGTTGCTGCCACCTGGTGGTGGTAGTCTCTGTTTGTTTAACAGGCACAGCGCCTCATGACTTACTGTATTTAATTTCTTAGGGGACAGAAAGTGAGTGAAAGGGTTTCCTTAAACTTAAATGAAGTCACAATATTTAATATTTTGTAGCAGATCTTTAGCAGTCAATGTCTCAAGTACCGAAAAAGATCAGCGGACAGGTATCTTCCCCTGGCGAAGCTTTGCCAGGCCTGTACCTCAGCAGTCTTCATTTCTTGATTGTTTTGGGGGCTTTTTGCCCTCAGTCTAGTCTTCAGGATATGAAACATGTGATGATGACTTGGTCAGTCATGTGCATTTCACTGTTTGGCAGTAAAACTGAGTCCCACACCCAGTTTGGATGTAAATACCCATAAAACTGAGAGTTGGGACTAATCTTGCAGTTATTGGTTTATTTTAAAGCCAGTGTGCTGGAGTAGTCTACAGAGCCAATACAATAAAAACACACTGCCCTAACACTTTCTGGCTGCACTGTCTTCTGAGGTAATATCTACACAATTAAAGTAATGTGTGTTCTGGTGATGAACCCACATACCTTTCAAGGCTGCATTTGACTGTGCTGTTTCAGTTCAGTTTTGAAGTTGTCATATGCATACAGCCCTTTTCTTATATTTTGACTCCTCTGTTGGTTGCAGAGGATGAGCAGCAGCAGAAGACTCTGTCCTGCAGCAAGTCAGTCAGGCAGTTGACCCTAGAGAGGGATCAGGCCCTGGCTGACCTCAACTCTGTGGAGCGCTCCTTTGCTGACCTCTTCAGGAGGTATGAAAACATGAAGGGAGTTCTGGAGGGCTTCAAGAAGGTCAGTATAGCTATATATCCCATTATGCAGTGTAGTCCACCATCAAGTAATAGCCAGATCACTAGATATTCTCTACACATATCTCTCTAGAATGAGGAGGTGCTGAAGAAGTGTGCGCAGGACTACCTTATAAGGATCAAGCAAGAGGAGCAACGATACCAAACCCTCAAAGTGCATGCTGAGGAGAAACTGGACAAGTAAGAGATGAACAAGTTTTGGTCATAAGACAGCTGTTTAGAAAAACCACTGGAGTTCAAGGCTGATTCTAACCATCGATCCCTCTTTCTTCTGTCTCCTCCACTCTCAGAGCTAATGAAGAGATAGCCCAGGTACGTGCAAAGGCCAACGCTGAGGGTGTCGCACTTAATGCCAGCCTGAGGAAGGAGCAGATGAAGGTGGAGTCACTTGAAAGAGCTGTCCTTCAAAAGGTGGGATAATTGAAAACATGATCAAAATGGATTCATTGTGTTTAATTGTGTGGGTGAAAGGAAGGGTGCACTGAAAAATTACTCTGGATAAGTGAGGTTCAAACCTTTCACTGGGGGAGATTTGCATCAACATTTCTGTGTCAGCTCATACTTTTACTTCTTAAGTCTAAAAAGTAAAGAGTGCTGAACACAGCATGTTTAAATATCGTTGTATTACTGTCAAATCAATTGTGCTGTTCAGGAATCATTACTGTAAACGAATAAGATCTACCACAATCCCCACAGAACCTGATGTTTCCTGTCTGTTTGTTTCAGTTGGTTTTCTCTTTGCGTTTAGTTGGGGATAAATTTCCGTTCCCATCAGCTTCTCACTTCTTGCACCAAGAGGAACTACATAACTTTTTGTTCCTCTTGCATTGGAAAAGTTTCTATTCCTGGATTGTGAAACTAAATAGTTCTTCATCAGATGTTTGTTCTAAATCTAACCCATTTAGCTCAAAATGTAAAGCACATTTATGATGTGGTTTGATCACAGTGATATTAAAAGGTCGTAATTTACTGTGCTCTCAGTATGACCCCTGCAGCCTTAATTCCTTGGGAGTCCTTCAACATAGCACATATTGTACTAGAGAGCACAGACCTCCACCAAGGCCAATGTCAAAAAAACATACATTTCTAGTAAATGATCCAGATCTCCCCCAAAGTTTATTGGGTTCTTGCCTGGCCCATGTCCCATCCAAATCGGTGCAAATCGGTTTGGTACTTTTTGAGTAATCCTGCAGACAAGAGATGGGTGAAAACATAACCACTTTGGTGGTGGTAATAAATACACATTTGCCAACATGTAACTGAACACTAGGGGTCAGTGTTTTACTTACTAAAACCACAATGAGGTGGAAAGGAGATGAAAAATAGTAGTAAAAGTATGCAGTATGTTATTAGCTGTTTTGTACTTTCTTGATGGATGTTAACCAAACAATAGTGTTACCAAATACCTGTCCCTCCTCAACCAATTAGTGTTTGAAATGCAGCTCTGCAGATCTGACCAGTTTAAATTTTGTGAATTCTGACTCTTCTGCAAACTACAGAGAAGCATTTTCTCTGCTTACAGATTCAGAGACTTTTATTGTACCTTTAAAGACACACACTTTGATCCTGGCATCTCTATTCTTCCTGTCTCTGTCTCTCACAGAATCAAGAGATCGAGGAGCTCACCAAGATCTGCGATGAACTGATTGCCAAACTGGGAACTGAATAAGAGGCCTTTAATCGAACTCTCATTGCAGCATGTGATGTAAATTCTGTATATGAACACACTTCAGCACATCTCAACTTTGTTCTTTCTTTCTTTTCAAAAGTATATAATATTGAAATACAGATTGGTTGCACTTGCTCATATTGATTTCAGACTGAAATATGAAACCAGAACAATAATGTCATTGTGTAAATCAAGAAGCACAAAGTTATCATGAGGGGTATTTTAATTCTTTTGAAGGAGAAGCATTGTGATGACATTCCAGCCATGATTTTTTTTGGGATCTCTAGTAATGGATTTAAAGGATTATTTTAAGGTTAAATGATTAATCCATTATCAAACTAAGGGAAAGAAAATGTGGACATACATATTTTACCACAGCACGTCCACAGTGTACTACATATAGACAGAAAGGACGAATCACTTCATGGAGTGCCTAAACTGATCATAGCATATTCAGCATTTCCTTTGACATACAGACAGTTTAATTCTGCTGATTATCCACTTTCATCCGCAAATGAGCTGTAAGTAATATTACAGAGCATTTCTTAAGTTGCCTTTTGCTTTGTTTGTCTTTCTTGTTTCACAGGGTGACATATGCAGTGTGTGATGAAGTCCTCAGTTATGCAGATTTTGAAGTTAAAGCACAGCGTTTTGACATCTTGTACATTATACCCTCATACATCTCTGGGATTGTTATATATGAAGAGCACTTAAGAGAATCACACTTTACACACAGTTATATAGTATCTTGATGGGAGTTTGACAGTGATGGGTGGAGGTGAAAGTTTAAAGCAGTAAAAACTTTGGTCTTATTATACTGCAATATTAAACTATGTGCCATGTTTCATTTTCCTTCTCTCTGAGTATGGAAAAAGGCGCATTCTTCCGCTGCCATGTAGATATTTTTGGATTGTATTCATATTTTATCTGTGAGCCCACGTGTTGCTGGTGTGCCTTTATTTTGTCTATGTAAAACAAAAAAAAAGGTTTTGGTTTTTTAGTTCCTCCATGCAGTTGTTTGCAAACTCTGTTGCCAAAGTGTACTGTATACATTATATTTCTTGTACAATGAAAATATCTTGAACAACAAATATCTTGAGTTATAATGGGTTTGCAGTTTTAATGCTTTACCTACAGGAACAGATCAGTGAGCAATGTGTGCACATGATGAACGACATTACTCTTTATTATAAAGGCCTGTGTTTTGGGAGCAGATGATCATTATCCAGTAAAATGTCCACTCAACATTTTCTGGTCTGATTGAACTTGAAGGAGCACAAAAGCACATTTTCGGTCAGACATGTATCTCATATAAAGGACAGACTTTTGCATGGAAACCTTCTTTTACGTCAGCACAATCAATTGCCAAATGTCAGTGTAAAATCAGACGGTTTCAGTGTGACAGTGTCCTGTTGTAGTGGTGTTACAGTAGTCCGAACGTGATTTAAATGCAAATCCATCGTCACAGTACAATATGTATAAATTTTATACTTTATGAAAAGAGTATTCAGAATTTTGTTCCTGATATTTGTAAAACTGAAGAATTGGGTATAATCAGATTGTATGTTAACTGCTATATTTTGTGCATTCCTGAATAAATGGTTAAGATTTATTATTATGCCAGTCTCCTCCTTGGCCGGAATCATTTTAGCTGTGCATCACAAAACAGAAACACGTTTGAGTCCACTATCGCTGCAGTGATGAACAAATTCATTGTCACTGTTCATTCCTACAGAGGAGCCGCAAGCCAAATTTCATCACTGCTCATGCTCTTTAGTGTATTGTTACTTTTTACAAACATGTCATCAGTGCTTTGTTTGTTTGTGAGTCAAGAGCCTGTAATTTCCTCTATCAGTCAGATTTAACAATCACAACAATAGAGTCATAAATATATATCATATCAACAGTGCAGTCTATCTCAGCTCATGTGCTGTGATCCAGTCATTTGTAGAAGCTGCCCATTTATTAACCATTTCAGTGTTCATTTAGGATGTCATCACATTGAAATAAAAAATACCCAAAATGATTACATTTTTATACTGTAGACTGAAAAATGACACTGAGGTACTTTAGTTACTGACCGGGACCTCTGTCAGCACCATGTTTGCAGTTGTGTGCTTGCTTTAACATTCTCCTGTTCTGTTGCGACTTGACTGCAAAGACCGCCTTCTTCCTGTTCCCCTGGGCTAAAGCAGTACTGTCGATCATATTTTGGAGCTAGATGTGACAAAAGAGGAGATAAGTAAATCTTTCTTACCTAATATTATTAGCTGACTTATTTTGTAGGCACTTAACACTCTACTAAACGTTTAGCCCAAGAGCAGAGTGGTTAGTGTGCTGATATTGCTTCCTGTCTGATATTTTTCCTGATGTAACTTAATGAAATTTACTCAGAGGAAACTAGTGGTCATCCTCATTAAATCACAACTGCCTCCCTAAAACACTCCTCCTGTAACCAAACCTGTTTGAAGAAAACTAGTTTACCAAATGTGGCCATTAAGTTTGATTGCTGTAGCCAAACTGTGCCACCAGATTTACTACAAAGATATTTCTTCATACAGAACAATGTATAAATTACTAATTGTTTGGGATAAATGAAGGATTGTGAGTCACAGTGGCTAAAATTAAATTCAAAAAATGAAAAAGTACTTACTAGTCAAATGGAAAAGACCAAAGTCAGCGCTCTTCATTGTGGCCCGTATTTTACAACAATTGTAAAATTGTAACAAAGAAACTCTAATGTAATAATGTGACACTTGATCTGATGACAATTCTTTGTCTGGCTCCAGCACGCCGCAACAAGTTTGAAATTTGAGGACATTCAAGATTTTTATCAGTACATAAACATCAAGAAGCAAAGAAAGATTAATGTAATGTGTTGATGATAATAGGATTTTATGTCACTCACATCTGTAAATTCAAGACACAGCTCTTATAAGGCACCAATGTTTAAGCTCTTAATTGCATGTACACTATGGACATATTTGTCTGAAGTTGTGTTCATGTAATCATTTCATCTGCCACATCCCCGGGTCAGTCTTGGCAGCACCTTCTCACCACATGGTGTCCTCAGACACACCATGGTGTATAAAGATCACTCACAGATACTGTCTGGAAAGTTTTCTTCTTTATATTTAAGTCGAGTTTCCTGCTTGTCGTGCTTTGAGTTGAAGTGATGACGTGGCTGCTCTCAAGTTTTCTTTAAATTGTGCCCCTTTGTAGGAATATTCACCATCATTTTATCACTGATTTGGTTTCAAGAAAATATTGCTCTCTTTGGTTTGTCTGATATTTTTATCAGCCACTGTTTGTAGTTTGTCTTCCCGTGATGGAAAGATACTGAGTGGACTTAAATTTGATGTTGTTTGATAGAAATGGTTGCAAACTATAGTCTGTATGGACAGGTGAACGAAAACAATTGATTCTCAGTGGAATCAGCAGTATGAGCCTTGACTAAGCTTTACACTTATACCAAACTTTAAAGATACACTCCAGGTTCCCCATCGTCCCAACATTAGGCTTCTGATGCTTTGAAAGAGTTTTGGACCATCAACAATGGGCTGGGAAGAAGTTTCTTGATCAGTATAGGCACTCCATGAACAGTTCATGAATAAAATATGATTTGATATGATTTCAATTAATAATCTATGTCAAAAAAAGTTATTGGAGGTCAATACTCTTTCCAAATCGAATGAAAAATGAAGTTTCAGTCTTGGGCTTTGTGTATATGAAGTTACAAAACGTTGTTATATATCATTTCAAATAGATGGGTTTCATAATCCACAGATCCAGGTCCAGGATCTTTCCAGCTCCAGCTGAGTGTTTTTGTAACCCTGGTGACTGTGCTGGAGGGGGGCGGGTTCAGGATGCTGAGGCGGCTGCTCATTGGCTGCTCACTGTGGTGAGGAGTGGGACGGGAGCGCGCTGCCAGCTGTGAGGGGAGCAGAGAAAACGGCCAGGAGAGTACTAAAGGGACAAAGAACCGCTGTTTCAGGTCTCATCCTCTCCAGCAGGTTGTAAAGCTAAAGGTCTGCGTCCAGTGAAGGGTGTACTGCTTGTTCTTCGTCTGTCAAAGTAAGTGTGTCTTTTCCCCTTCAATTTATCTCAGGCACGTCCACCACTGATGGGATGTTGTTTCGCACGTGCCTGGATGTGCAAAACTTTTTGAGATAGCAGACTTTCTGCAGACATAATTTTCTTTATTTTTTTTCCATCCCCTCTGTACGACTTGGAACATAAATATGATGTACATTCACATTTTTTCTCTTTGTAAAAAGTAATTTCGTTCATAGTTGTTTCCCATTGAAGAGTTGTACCAACCAAAAGTTAACTTAATCTGAACATGGGCTAAGAGTGTCTGGCAATGCTGTAATACAAAATTAATAACCCAAGTCCAACAGAAACTGACATTAATCTTATACTATGGGTGCCACAAGAAGCTGCAGGACTCTTCTGACTCTCCATACATCCATGACGTCTTTCTTTCATTATTCACTCTGAATATTTGGATCTGAGCCGGTCAGGGCTGAAGAGCCACTTGATGGTTGATTTATGCTTTTCACAAATGGACAATAGACAATACAAAAGCACTGGCTTTGACTGAGTAAGTGATACATTCAGGATGTGGGATTTTGGATTTTCCAGTTGACTTGGCAGTCCTTGGTTACCTTTCACTGACAGACAGCCTTCACCTATTGTTTAAATGTATTGTTCTAATGCAAGACTTGCATGTTAAATCTAAAATAAAAAATAAAATAAAATAATCATTTACAAACTGCTGTAATTATAGACCAAAGCCAAATATCTGAGCCAGATTAAAGCGTTAACTGTGCACATTGTTCTGTAGGAAGTGGGTGTGTCTTCACTGGTTTTGTAAGAGGTAGCCTACTATCTAAATCATACATAACAGATATCCAAGTGTTAAGTGTTAATCTTTCATAAAAAGATATGTGGAGTTAATGCGTGTTGATTGGCCTGATGTTTATTCATTCAGATATGTTCATAAGTGCACTCTGAACTCGGGTGGACAAAACGTACATATTGCTGACTCTTTCACTCTCTGTGTTGAATTTGCTGCTGTGTCAAGAGGCGCAGTGAAAATTAAAAGGCCAAACTGAAGTAGCTCCTCCTTCCTGGTGAGCACTTTACTTTAATGGGAAAATAAACCAGACGTGTCACTCAGAGGATCACAAGTGACGTCTAATGGTTTATTGAGTGTGTTTTTTCAAGCCTGTGCGCTCTGAGTTTGTTTGGCTGTTACTATGACGTCAACTCGGAAAGCAACCCCCTCCTCCTTAAACACACTAAAGACGTGGAGGTCTCCTTACTTTCACTGTCTTCCTTCCCTCCTTAAACTCCAGGAACATTCCTCCCGGAGGGCTTCTGGTCCCTCCACTGACACTTTCATGGTTTACCATGAAATATTGAGGTGGAGTCAACTTTCCCTCTGAACTTCAGTTGCGCAGCCTCTAGGCACAGATCAGTAGATAAATGAGAGGGGCAGCACCCACCCTGCAGGAGCACACATTTGCTCTCCATTAGGCTGTCAGGCAGACAGAGTGAGGAATCCTTGCCTCAGCAACATACTGTAACCTTCATTCTCACCGAATCCCTGACAAATTCTGCTTCTTCTCTGTTTTATTGGCAGTCAAATGTATCTTCACTGTTTGTTCACTATATTGTGAAACTGTGATGAATTCTGTCAGTGATCCTGGAACGTATACTTGTGGTTTCACAGAGGCCAGTGTGGGGTCTCTGGTAGCCTGACGATGGCCAAACCAAACTGTTACTGCACATGATTTTATACTGAAACTGCTCACTGGCCTAAATTATGGAGAAAACCACCACACACCACAAATTACTCTCTGCCTCTTCCTGTCTTCAGATGACATTCAGCCCTCATTTTTAACTCTTTAGATTAGGAAAAGGCTACTTTTAAATCCCATTCTATCTCAAAATTATCTAAAGCATAGTTCAGTACAGCATTATTCAGTTTAAAATAGCCTCCGATGTTGATGCTAACAATCTTTTGTCTTATAATCTCCCTCCAGATCTCTGTCTTCTCCTCCCTCCTCCTGCATCATGGTGCGCCCAGTTGCCATTCAATGTCTCTTGTTCGCTTTGCTGTGCATGCTGGCACTGTGCAACGCCCAGTCAGACTCTGGCACCCCTGCAATCCAGCTCCGTCTAGTTGGTGAGAAGCGGAAACACTACGAGGGCCGGGTGGAGGTATTCTACAATGGAGAGTGGGGGACAGTGTGTGATGATGACTTCTCCATCTACGCTGCCCAAGTGGTGTGCAGAGAGCTTGGGTTCGTGGGCGCTGAGTCCTGGTTGCCCTCTGCCAAGTACGGAAAAGGAGACGGTAAGAAAACTAGCAGGGAGAAGTATTTGTTGGTTTCAAGAATTTGATGTAAATCTTCTGTTATTTAATCAAAGACCTTAAATATTCATCTCAAAAACCATTTTATTCAGCTGCCTAAGAGCCGAGGTGAGGGTTATAGGGTGTTAATCTCAGTAAACTGCAAGTCGGCCAATCACACACATTCAAACGCAGCATATCTCTTCATACAGTTTCAAATGTTCCACGGAAATCCTTGAATGAGGTACATGTTTCCCCCTGTCTGGCTGCTCATACCCTCAGTCACTGGTTTCCCCATTAGAGGAGACGTGAGAGACGCCAGTCAGTTCAGCGCATGAGAAGTAGGTGGGGTCGGGGTCAAGACTGGAAACACTGGGTGTGTAAACCGGACTCACACAGACATAATCTCATCTCCTTTTGCTGTGTCACGTATGAATTCCTCATTTACTGTAAAAAGAAACAACCCTGATGAGATTCCCATCTCTGTAAATGCAATAGCTGCCGGCTGCCGGTGGTACATGTAAGTTGGTAGCTGTTAATTAAAACAGTGTCCCTTGTTAAAGGCACATGTTTTCCCACTGGGTCAGACACATCCACCCAGCCGCTTCAAAAGTGAAGTAATTAACTCAGTTATTTGCTTCCCAAAACACCACAGTCATTACAGCAACTTAAAGAATCACATTCATGAAGTCATACACCCCATGCATATAATGTTGCCTGCAGATACTGTTTTATGAGAAGCAATTAACAACCAGTTAGATGTATATGCATGTTCTGGCAGTGCAGAAAGGCAACTGTTTGCACTTAATTTTAGCAGTGGTGTAGATACAATATATAAAGGTGGAGGCATTTGGGATTGGATTAGAGTGTTTCTGCAAGTTTACTAAAATACGCGTGTGCCACTTTGAATGTTGTAAAATTAAGAGGGGTGTGAGGGGACGGCAAGTTTAATTTTAACATAAAATGAGTGCAGAAAAAGTATTGTGCCATTACCAAATATTTATTATGAGGAGGGTTCCTGTCTTCCTCTTGACAAATAGATGTTTAGTTTGAAAGAGAATCATTTCAAGAGTATTTGAGGCTGTGTGCATGTGTGAGAAGGGGAACTGTTTTTTGTTTTCTTGTTGTTAGTGGAGACACATGGCTATAAAAGTGATCAAGAGCATTTTCCATTTTCCATCATCATGATGACTGGTGAAAGAAACCACCAAATGTTTTTAATTGATGACATAACTACATAACAAGTACAAGGATATCCCTTTTGGATGCAACGTTTTGTTCCTGCCTGGTTGTTAATTGGACCCTAAGTTGTCTTTACACAGCTATCATATGCAAACTCAATCTATAACATCACAAAATCTGTTTTATTCAGATGACAGAGAGGACACTTTGAGTTTAAGCTATGTGGTTGATTTAATGTGCCAATAAAAGCTCCTTTTGACAATTAATGGCTCCCTGCACGCTATGCTCCCTGCTCTTTTCACCAGCTTGTGAAATTACATTCCCATAAGTCCTGCAAATGATGGTTTTAACAAAACAATTCCAAATTTATCACAATTGGCAATGCTGAATATTTGTTTAGACAGAGGTTTACTGAGACCAAGCTGGTTCTCACTTGGAATCTCTGCTATGCTTCAGCGCCAGAAAACGTGCCTCTTATTTTGAAAAAAATGTTCCAGAGGTAATCATGTGCTGCCAGGAGGAGGCTACGTGACCGTACAACATGTAGTCACTTTCTTGGTATGATCAGGATGTTCCTCGGCAACATGTTGAGACTTTCTAGATGATGAGCAGTCTGTTAGCAGTTTCCATGGCCACAGTTATGTGGTTTTCTTTAGCTGACTGATTCAGAACATCCAGCTGGACAGCAGATGATCCGCTTCAGCCATGACAACATTTATTGGCCAGCTATTAGCTGAAAAAATGCGTCAGGTTAAGTTAGAAACCAAACACATATCCACGTGAGTAAGTTTACTGTCTCTGTGACTAGACTAAAGTGGAAATGGTGAAATAGATGTCAATAGGGTGTGACTCACAGCTCAGAATTGATCCTTCCTTTGAAGGGTTGGTTTCAAATGAAGTAATCCCCTGTTAGGAAGAGTGTGTTACCAGCGCTGCCTGTGCAAAGAGCTTGATTTCTGATAACAAGATCAAACTCATATGGTAACATATCATAATTGCCCTAAAGTACAGCAGTCATCATTTTATTTTTATTTTTTGTTATTTCACCAGGGCACACATAAAAAACAAAAGTCTCTTAAAGTGAGACCTGTAGGCCAAGAAAGCAGCATCAAGATGATTCCAAAAGTTGCGGACAGTAAACATATACTCCATCTGTAACTGATGATTATTTTCTTCACAAATAATTGATCAATCATTTGGTCTATAAAATGGGACAAAAGCCAATCACAGTTTGACCAACAGTCCAAGACCCGAAGATGTTAAGATCACATAAGACAAAGAAAAGCAATAACTCCTCATGGTTAAAAAAAACTGTAGATTGAAAGATGAGCAAAAACAAACTCAACACTTATTGGGTTCTCTACAAGGAAACCTTCATCTACGTCAGAACATGTGTTCATTCACTCTTATCAATGCCTCTCTGCTCCAGGCCGTATCTGGCTAGACAATGTGCACTGCACTGGTGGAGAGAAGAGCCTGGCTCAGTGTGAGTCCAACGGCTTTGGAGTGTCTGACTGCAAACATTCAGAGGATGTCGGGGTGGTGTGCAACCAGAAGCGCATTCCTGGCTTCAAGTTCATCCGGAACCAGGCCAACAGCGAGGAGGTAGGTTCGCATGGAGCAACACGCTGACAGATGTGTGCACTATGAAACCTGCACGTATACATTACACTTACAGTAAATAGGTGCATATACACATGTAAACTCACACTAAATGTAACACCAGGGTGGGATCACTTGATCACATAACACACTTAAGTAATATCCACACATGGTTCAGGTGCACACACGTATCCTGAACAGATGTTCAGCACAATATAAAAAGAACAGAGGACAGGCTTGGGATGAGAGAAAAACTATATCTTAGTAGTGCATTGCTCCAATGAGATGTGTTATAAGTATATATAAGTAATGTGTGAAGTGGATGATAGTGAACATAATTAACACCATACACTTAAAGAAATGTAGCTTAAACAGGAACCTTAGCTTCACAAGCTGTAACATAAATTCAAAATATTACAGTTTTAAGACCAAACAATATATTAAGCTTACTTACTTGTAGGTGTGACTTTTTTTTGTATGTATACTGCATATGTACATGCAAAAAAAAAAGATGGTGTATTCATACTGACGTTATTTGGTCATTAAGTCTAATGGTGACTGTCAGAACGTTTCGTAATTTGTGACATAATTTAAATAGTTTATATCACTAGTAAACAACATTTTAGTGTCAGATCAGATGTATTGACCATATCCCATCACCTCTGCTACTTCTTGCTCTCCATTAATCTATCAGGAAGCTAACGTTACTATTATTAGTAAAGCTAGCTATCTATATAAATTTACCTGGCAGTTTGTAGGTGTAAATGTTTAGTCACAACTAATCTCTACATATGAACTAGAATGTGTGCAATCTGTTTTAATGTTGTAATGAGTAATTCTCCACTTATAAGTAGCCAAAGTTAATAAGAATTTACGAACAGCTGGTGAAACCAGTATTTTGTAATCCATGATTAAATGGATAAAACTAGTAAGTGAAAAAATGGCCTAATGGATACTAAATCTGTACGTCTGGACAAAACCAGACAGCGGTTCTTCCATGCAGGTAGTCAGATCTGCCATGATATTAGGCTAGTCAAATAATCCACAAGTCAGCAAAGAATGGCATATAATGTTGAGCTCTCCACGCCACCATTTGCACTAATGACTTTGCCAGGCTCCTATTAGTCTATGCCTGCCCTCAGCAGACCCCCACTCTGCAGCCTGGGAGATTTTGGAGATGACTCAGAGAGGGGGAAGACCATCCTGTCTGGCAGCACAGAACGCCTCTGTACCGGATGGAAAGTCAGTGTGGGTTTTTGAATGTTACTGGAGGGAGAGAGAGGGAGAATAGAAGATAGGAGCATTCCTTCAGCTTGTCTGAGAACAAATTATTAAAAACACTCACCGCCACAGAGGGTTTCCTAATTAAAACCAGTTTGATAGAGATGAAGCAACATTTCTCTGGCAGCTTAGAAGACAGTGTTCTTATACTTTGCTACTGCCTTCATATTAACAAAATAGTTTGTCTGTACTGGATGTGCAGAGGTAGATTCGGCTTTTTTATCCTTCTCTCTACAACAGCCAGAACAGTGACTGTGTTTTTTTTTACTGGATTATATCAGACAACATGCTCGTGAACACCATCTGAAATCCTTGTGTATCTTTCTCATGCCTAGCTGAGTCATGGGAATGGAGAAATGAAAGAAAGGAGAAATTGAAATATTTAATTATGGACTAATGAGCCCTATTCATAGTTTTCTTATTTTTACAGGTCGTGTATATAAGCAGCACCCTCTTGTTCCCTATTTGTTGTGTGTATTTAGGGTCTCTGGGGTGTTACTGCATTTCAGCCCCACACCCTGTAAATATTTCCTCAGTCTGGCCAAAGCCATACACCTTTTTAACCATGCTTGAGCTGACGTCAGCAATGGGCAGCACTGTTCCTTCAATCTGTTTATTCACAGCATGAATTGACATTCTGTGCTCAATGTGGAAAGTTTACACCCTAAACATAAGTGTACTACACTCCAAGTAAAGGTCAACATCAAGGGTAAAGCAATCTGTATCTTCACCGTCATATGAATAACTTTAAACTTTCGAAAAGGTAAACTGGTATCATAATGTCGGTGACGTGTCTGATCATTCTCATATGATTTAAGTTTAGAATCTGAATTTGTGTTGCAAAATTTGTATTACCAGCAATTTCTTTTATTACGTATTAAATAGTCTTTCAAGTATATCAGACCAAATCTACAGGTCACAGAGTTGCTTCAAACAGTAATTATTTTGTTTTTGTGAGGTACATCATGAGACTATTTTACAGTATATGGGGATATGTGAAGATAAGACCATAACAGCTCAGTCTGGCAAGTTCAGCTTTGACCACAAATGACAGTCTACCGAAAACATCAGTCTGTCATTAATGAAAACAGCAGATTCCAATGGCACGAGTTGCACGTCTAGAATTTTAGCAGAGTCAAACAAAAAAAAAAGACGTGTTATTCAAAAGGCACAACTAATATCAATCTATCACTTTATTATTTATTTGCTCTTTATTTGTTTGGCATTTGGGTATGCAGCAGTGGGATATATGCATATACATATACATAGAGATATAAAAACATAATGGCTTAATATAGTATTAGGGCATTAACAAAATATCAGTCATTTTGCTGAAAACTAGTGTTTTTTCTCACAGTCCAAGCTCCTGTCAGAGTCGCCATTTAACCTCTGACCCTCCTGATTGCTGCTTCGTCTAAGTTATGTCTGTCTATAATGCTGTCTGCTTCTGATCTGACCTCTGGAGACTCTTACCATTACAACCTCCCTCAGCTGGTTATGCAATACCTCTTAAAGAACAGCATTACATACGTTCCTGTGTGACTGAATCGTTACCATGAATGTAATGTTAATTAATTTAACGTGCAGCTTCTAATTCAACCTACCATTCCAACAACTAGAATCTATTTAATTACGCACAAAGTTTTTATTTGATGTCTTTTTTCTGCAATTTGTCTAACGCACAGTTCTGTTATTTATTGGCATGTGTTTGACATAAACACAAGTCTTTCAGTCAGTAGGGGGGGATTACATTCGTCAGCAGAACCAAACAGTGGAATGGCAGGAAACTTTGTTTATCATCTGTTAGTGGGGACTTTTTAACCAACTCAGCCATGCTCAGCTGTTGTTCACGTGGGAATGGCACACTGCACGTGTCATCAGTGCTCACAGGATCTCCTCCATTAGAAGATGTCTGAAGTTTCAGTTTGTATATGTTAGATGTTTATGAGAGAGCGTGACATGTCATTTAAGGATAATTACAGGTTGAGTTATTTATTTCAGGATGTTATTTACTGTGTGTTTTCCAAAACGTTGGCATTGCTGGGTTACTTGTGTAATCATTGCGTAATACATTGTTCCCTGCAGAAGAGAAGTTTCCAATGGGAAGTCACGTAAGCTTGAATATCTCCTATTCATACATTTTGATTATTCAAGTAAAGAAAGTAAGCGATTTTCATGCTTTCAGAACCTCGTACGTTATAAACAGATTACAAATGTAGATGAGTTCATCATCAGCACCAAAAGCAGCTGCAGTTGGCCACCTGACCATCTGGTGTATTTATTTGGACCAAGCACTTAGATCTTGAGGCAACACAAACACGTCAGAAGCCAGTTGTGATAACAGAATGCAGCAGTCAAGAGCCTGTTGATTCTTTGCAGGGCAAAGGCTGCACTTATGCACGAGGCGTGACGGTGTCCTCTTACAAGAATTTCAGTTCTGCACATTCTGTGCTATACAACAAAAGGAAACCTGAGCCAAAGTTGGATTCGTATGCAAGAGCCTTGTGAGGAGGAGAATGATCGAAGGGAGAAAAGGTTGATGCATGTCAGGAGGCTGAAGCCAGTTTCTCTCTCTTATGGATAGAGTAGCAGACAGATCCACCACATGTTCAACAGCTGGATTCCAATGTGGTCTCAACTCTCCTCTTGGCTGCACAGTGTCCAAAGTCCTGACTGTCATTATTCATGCCTGCACTTTATGATTTACCATTTGCACACTGGACTGGTTCAGTAGATGTGAATTATTATATGTGCACTGCACATACTGTATGCATTAAGACTAAAGTATAGATATTACGCAAATGAAATTGTTCAGATGTAAGTTAAAGGTACTCATGAATCATTAAAAAACAATGTTTGTCAATGCTACTGTAATGCAGTTAACATCTTAAATGGTTTTAAATCCCCAATCTATAATTTGGTTTACAGTGCTGTTTCATTTTATTAATTTTCTTTCTGAGAGTTAGATAAGATCAGTGTCCCTCTCTTTCTATTACATGTGAAACTACAACCAGGTTAGTTTAGCATATAAACTGGAGAGGGAAACAGCTAGCCTGGCTCTTACCAAAGGTAACAAAATCTGCCTATTAGTACCTCTAAAGCTCATTTTAATTTGATTTATTCAATCTTGTGTGCTTAATCCGTACAAATACTGAAGTGTAGAAATGATTTAATGGGAAGTCATGTGCTGGATTATTTTTTGGCTGGTTGTGTGGAAATCTCACATTGACAAGACTTGAGGGATTAACTGCTGTCCAACAAGAAAATTTCTGGCAGGTAACCCCCTGTGAAACTACAATCTGTTGTTTTTTCACATTTCTGTGTCTGTGCAGATTAAACAAAATAGATGAAAATGTTAATCAGAGAGCTTTGCAGGTGCTGGTAGGGGGATTTTTTCACTTTTGGATGGAGCCAGGCCTGCTGTTTCCTTCTGTTTCCAGTCTTTATGCTAATCTAAACCATCTCTGCGCTGCAGCTTCATATTTAAAAGAGTGTGTGTGAGAGTGGTATCAATTGTCTCATAAGCAGTTTTTCCCAAACTGATAAACTATTCCTTTAACTACATGATAAGCCATTGGACGCAGACCATTAAGACTTAAAATTAGTTCTCATCCAGTCAGTTTCTGGAGAATAAATAAAAAAGAAAAATCATTACCCACAAATATGAACAATATTGCATTAAACTGTTGTAATTTGATTAATATGCAATAATATGTCATGCTGTAGTTAGGCTCAGCTAACACTGCCTACATATTTCAGTTATAAAATACTCATTTATGAATTCGTTTGAGATGTGTACGTGCGTGTGTTAACCTGTAGTAATAATTCTTTTTCATTGCCCTGATGGGAGCAGCACACTCTGATAGATATTCCAGATGCACACACACACACACACACACACACTTCCTCAGTCAAGTCAGACTAGGGGCTGTTGAGGCAGAAAGTGGGGTGGGGCAGATGTGAAAGTCATTTGAAAGAGCCTCGCTGTTCTCTTGCTTTTCATCTAAACTCTGGCGTGATTAACATTCATACTTGCCATGTTTTGTAAGGTGGGGCGGGGAGTGGATGGGTGGGTGGGGATCCAGGGGGGCACGTGTCGATGAACGTGCAGCGGGGCTGGAAAGCTGAGTAAAATGGAAGAAATGCACAGTAGTGGAAGCATTAGTCAGACACTGGCTAGACCACAGTCTCATGTTCACACATCTACATTGTGAGGGGTCCTGGTCAGAAAAACAAGTCTGGTCTCCAGTTGGAAATAGTTCAGTAATGGTCAAAGCTCACTTCAGAGAGTAGTAATGAATAGAGCTAAATGAAGAATGTTTTCTTTTTTCTCAGACGCCATTTACAAACAAGAACAAGAATGTGAGACTGTATTTGAAAAGGAAAAGGTATTTTGGAAAAAATCCAGAGAATGAATGAATCACTACAGCACAGTCATGGAGTTACTGTAAGATGAGGCAACTTTGTAGAAATGTCCAGTTGAGAATTAACCTCAGAATGACCTGCAGGATGGAAAGCCTACGCTCACTGCAAACGGGCCTCTGTCCATGCATCACATATTGACGATGTGGTTGCTAAAATGGTTACGCTGATCCTGATGATATCTACACACATGTCCTGTACTTAAAGGAATAAGTAGTTTCCTTTTTTGGGTAATAACCTTATTCACTTCCTTGCTGAGAATTAGATGAGATGTTTGATACAACTCTCATGTCTTTGTGGGGAATAAGAAGTTACCACCAGCAGCCATTTAGCTTAGCGTAGCATAAAGACTGAAAACAGGAAGAAACAGCTACCCTGGCTATGTCCAAAGATAACAAAATCCACCTACCACCACCTTTAAACCTTACTAATTAACACATTATATCTTCTTTATTAAATCAGCACCATATCTTTTGACAGAGCCAGTCTTTATGCTAAGCTAAGCTAACCATCTGCTGGCCGTAACTTCATATTTATTGTGCAGATATGAGAGTGGTATCAATCTTCTCATCTAACTCGCGGCAATAAAGCAAAAAAGCATATTTTTTCCAAAATGTGGAACTATTTCTCCCTATGTATAATATGTAAGATTCTGAACTTCCTCCTATTGGAGGGTCTAGATTTCCAGATTGATATTATGAGATTTACTCATATAGTGTGAAATGGCTTATCATGGGTCCATGTTCTGTGCGCTGTAGTAGTCATTTTCTTGCATTGCTTTACAAACCAAGCAGGATTTTGCTGAGTTTATGTCTGGTGGTCAGGGTTTGGTGGGGGGATGGGGGGCACCTGGACTGATCCCAGCTGTGGGTATCTGTCCTCTTCTCTTTAGTCTCACACATTCAGACGGCCAGTTTCCTCTCTCTGAGCCAAATGCAACACTGGTCAGACCCTTCTCAGTGCCCCATTTCATACTCACCTCGTACCCCCTGTCCTGTCTGGTATTTTAACCTTCACACCTGGATTCACTTTGGCACTGTGATTTTTCCATATGAATTTTATGTTTTGTATCAGGGGAACATACATTTAGCCATTCATAAGTATGTTTTTCAATTGTCTTCTTTGTTTCTTTTTGTTGTTACATGATTTTTTTATACCATAATTAATAATGCATCATTTCCGGTTCCCTGATCATGGTCACATCTCCTAACCTTCCTATCCTGCCGGGCACTAACGGAAAACACTCTGTCATGCTATGGACAGCAGGAATCTCTTCATGAAAGAGTGGTTTTTACCCGGTCTAACCGCTGCGGTCAGAAGGAGGACTGGGGTCACTGTAGAAACAGTCTGACTTAGTCGTGGCTCCTCCTGCATTGCAGTTTTTGGTGTTTAGAGACCCTGAAGCCTTGAACATTCCCTCAGGCTGACGCCATCTCAGGAAACCACCCTCAGGGCACGCATTTGATATTTCTGGGAGACATGCCTGAATGTGAGGTTTTTGTTCTGCAGAGTTAAAGAAGTTGGCTGTTTCGAAATTACTGAGATCAGCATTTGCATACCACAAAGCAGCTCAGAGTTTTGGCTCTTTTTGGCAGCCACAGTGTAACCTCACACTAGCTGGGAACAAACTGCAGCACTTGGCTGAAGAAGGAAAATGAACAATGGCAAAGTTATAAGGTAGCTGTTTTCCCATAAAGCCCTGGAGGTCAAAGGTTACCATTCCTTCCTGATTTAGGGGTCTTCAGGACATATGATGCTAACTGTGGTTGGTGACCCTCCGCCTCACCAACTGGCTTTACAGCCCTTAATAGTAGACTGTGGACCACCCGCAGACATTCTTCCAACCTGAACCCTGTCAGCCAATAGCTTGCTTCTTTAACCTCATGATTCAAAATTAGAGCAGAGAAACTTATCACTGTTTTCTTATCAATCATGAAATTCAAGATGCAAGTTGAAAAGTCTTTGAAAAGACATTTGGCCCAGATCCCCTTCACCTTCACCCCTTAGGGAAAAGACTAGTGTTTCTGCTTTTGTACTCTACTAGTTCATTTCAGCTTCTTGGCTTACTTTGCAACAGTAAAAATAATGACAATGATGTATTTCATTTCATCTTTGAATATCGAGTAACTTTTCAACACCTTTCAACATGTTTGAATCAGCAATGAATTACCAATTGTTCACTTTAAGTTTTTTTTGGCGGGGGAAACTAAAACACTGTTAGCAGGATTTGACAGATCTCTGCTGTGATGTATGTTGTCCACTAATTCCCTCCCGGCCCTTAAAGCTCCTGTCTAAACTCTGAAGACGTAACAAAGATGGAGGAAAAATTCCAGACATTCATCCGACCTGCTAAGGCCTCTCACTAATACTTAACAAGTTTAAACAAAGATTTCATCCTCAGATTTTTTAACTTGACTTTTCAAACATATGTGCAAATTGTGCAGTCCCTAAAAGTTTTTTCTGAAAAACTTCTGTATTTGTTAAAAATGTGATCTTCCTTTATGACTCACAGGATGCGTAGTATTTACAATATATCGAATGGAACAGTTATATGTGAAGTCCAAGTATAAATAAATTCTTGTCTTTTATAAAGCGGGCAATTCATTTAAGATTATACTCACTACTTATTATTATAGCCATGATAACCATGCTAAAATATGCTAATTAGCACTAAATGCAAAGTACAGCTGAGGCTGATGGTAATAGTTCATAGGTCATAGTAGTAAGTAAGTATTGGCTAAATGAAAATGTTTGACATGATGATAGCGATCGATAACATGTCAAGTGATCACCAAAGGGATCACAATTCATCCTGCAGGGGACATGAATGTGTGTACCAGATGTCATAGCAAGAGTTGTTCAGACATTTCACTTAAAACTACAAATGTCAATCAGACCCTAAAAGACATAAGTGGCCATCGTATCCTGTTGAGCGGCCTATGTTCAGCACAGTCGTCCCCAGATGGACTAAAGTCTACTTTCAGGGGTCAAATTTGTATGTATTATCTGTGTGTAAATGAAACATTTTCTCTGTTCTGTGTCCCAGGGTTTGACAGTGCAGGTGGAGGATGTGAGGATCAGGGCCACGTATTCTCACAGGAAAAGGATTCCCATCACTGAGGGCTTTTTGGAGGTGAAAGATGGAGGCAAGTGGAGACAGATCTGTAACGAGGAGTGGACAGAGATGAACAGCAGGGTCATCTGTGGCATGTATGGCTTCCCCGGGGAGAAGCGCTTCAATACCCGACCCTACAAGTGAGTAATGGTGCTGTGGCTGGCAGCAGGGTTTAAATAAGGCCAAATAGATATAATGAAAGTCTTCACATGAGTTAAATTCTAACATAAACATTTAGCTGAGTTAATTGCAGCTTAGGTTATGGGAATATAGCAGTGTTACACAACACTGAATCTGTTTAAAGTCACACGCGTGGCAAACATGTTATCATTTGAGGTACGCCACACATTCCTTTATCATATAAACACGTTCATGTGTTAAAACGCTGCATTTCCTATAGTGGCCTCTTAGGTCTAAGTCTATTTAGAGATGTTGTACCATACCAGACTGATGTTAGGAAAAATGGCATAACCAAGTTTGTTTACAGTAGTCATCGGTCAACCCTTCATCCACTTTGCACACTGAGATAAACAGACATGGCCTGGAGAATGTTGACAAGAAGCCAAACACTGCTTCAGGAAGTCTTAGAGGATGAAGGATGGGCCTTGCTGGGAAAAAAACGAGTGCAGTGCGCTGTGAAACAGTGGCTCTTTTGGCAGTGGCCATTCTTAAATGTCAATCTGTACACAATATGAAGCCTAACACAAAGCCAGCTACTTCCTGGAACACTTTGTGTCTAATCATTTTTATCTGTTACCAAGGGATGTGAAGTTCAAAACAAAGCAGATGCTCTTGCTGCACATGAAAAAATAATCACATGTTCATCTGGTGACTGCATGAAAGAGAATAACATGTTTCTCTCTTAAATAGCTCAGGCTGAGGTATGACTCAAAGAATCAAATAATTTAAGAAATAAACATGGTTACCTGCCCTCAAAGAAAAACATAGTCTTGGATGGTTTGGTTTTAAGTGTTTACACTCATAAATGGACATGAGTTCATGTTTTCAAATCATAGTCGAATCTGTTGATTATGCAAATCCAGGCAGTGTTAGTCTGTACATTCATCTGAAAGGAACCACAGTCCAGCCACAGTCAAACCAAGACCAGACAGACAGCAGAAAAACATTTATTTACAAATACTTCAAATACTTTGTCAATGTGATGGTCATGTTTAATGTGGTACGTTTGTACCTGGATCTTCACATCTTTCTTTAAACGTCTGTGGTTTGGTAAGATTAGGGTAAAGAAGGTGACTTATTTTAAATGTGTCTATTGTTATAGCTCTGGCAGACACGATCTCAGCTGATTTTATGTTAATCTTACATATAAATGCAGGAAGTAAGAGTAGAAGTATAAGACACATAAAACCAGTAATGGTTACTTAGTTTTTTTGTTAATCACTTAGGATCAAAAAGTGTGCATGGTTTTAAAGTGCGCAATGCTGCTGTGGTCTCACGTGGTTCACTGTTTTACAGAGGTGAAAGATCACAATCAATCTGTCTTTTGTCTGGAACAACAAAAGGCAGTTCTATTCACCGAATGTGGCCATAACAGTCCAGCAAAATTAAAACCTCTCAGTCAAATTTGGATTTTTCTTCAAATTTCACAGACCACAAATTGTTCTTGTATTTAAACAGACTTGGGGCTTCATTCTGTCCACAGCATCTGGACAAGCTGTGGGACCTGAAAGGTTGTAAATGTAGCTCATGTTGGTTTCATTACATGGTCATTCTCCTCAAAGGTTCAGACCTGCTTAGAGGTCCACTGTTGTCGGGTTCCTCAGTGACTCTTAGTCAATGACTTCTATTCAAGTATGGGGTCGTGAGAATGTTAAGGTATCTCCACAACAATACCTCCACTGTGCCTCTCAGTATAGGATGGGCGTTGTTGAAGTCCTCACACAAAACAAATAAATCTCATAAAACAGCGCCATTATATTTTAGTAAAGTGTGAGAAAGAACAATAAAACATTTTATGTGCTCTTCAACATAACAGAAGCAATACTGTAGGTGATGTAGATAAAAGCTGTTTTAAAAGAACTTACTGCCAACCAAACCGCCGCTTTCTTATTTTACTAAAGGTGTTTGTCGTTCCTGTGAATTTCAGAAACTTACTATAGAATCTGTAGAAAATTCCTCATAGTTACAGTCACAGTTATGTCATTGCTGTCATCAACTCTTCTTTGCTGACATGAATCTTAAAAGTGCAGAGCAGCTCAGTGATGATTGAGTGTTCGACTTCCCTCACCAGTACAAAGTGGAACACACTTCTAAACAGTCTTTGCAACAGCATTACCATGCAACGGTGACATAACATAAAATAACAAAGACCGACAAATTATTGACTGTGATGGGTCGATGTGTCTCTGAAGCAAGATTCAAGTCTGCAGGTTTCGGCATGAACTGATATCTATGACAATTTAAATTTCCCTCAGTAAACTCTCCACCTTGCAAGACTGCCTAACAGCTATCAAGGACTGAGTCTTGAGTAATTTCCTCCAACTTCACCATGACAAAACACAAGTCCTCATCAAAGGCCCTGAGAGCATTTTTGAGAGAATAAAACAGTGTATTTATCCTTTAAAAAAAATCATGTTTTTGTCTCCCCCATCTCGATTATAAATCAAGATAACTCGTCATAACTCCCCGTTCACAACCATGAGTCACTCTTCTGTGTCTGGGCTCCAGCTGCTGGACTGTTAACTAATACGTGACATTGGTCTATAGACTGTATATAAAAAGCGTAGGTCACACATCACACCAGTGTTGGCCAATCCACATTGTTTACCCACAGAGCGCAGAGTTGATTTTAAAATTGATTTAATTGCCTATAAAGCAGCTGACCCCACTTTAAAACCAAAGGTGACTGTGCTTTTGCAGATGTGGCCCCCCACCCTCTGGTGGTGATTGCCCTCTGTGTAGCTTTTATTGTTTTTATATTGTTATTTCCTGTTTTTAACCATGTATTTGTCTTCAATGTTGAAAGGTTAAAAAAAGGTGGTCATACTGCATTCATTCGTCTTAAAACCTATGACATGCTGTCTAAATTGGTTGCCACTTATGTGAACTAACACAAATGACCACAAATAACGTACACTATAAACTATATGTTGCAATAAATAACTATAAGTTGCCTATGGCCCTGTCATTTCATTGCCTTCTCAGATTGCTGTCCAATCGTCGTAAGAAGAACTACTGGGGTTTCTCTGTCAACTGCACAGGCAACGAGGCCAACTTGTCCGATTGTAAACTGGGCGGGGAGGTAGAGCTGAAGGGCAACAACACCTGTGGACAGGGCATGCCTGTAGTGATCAGTTGTGTGCCTGGACGTGCCTTTGCTCCCAGCGTCAGCGTCGGCTTCAGGAAGGCCTACAGGGTGGAGGTAGGTCAGATCATACATGCTTGGCTGCACGGTGGGTCAGTGGTCAGCACCGTCACTGCAAGAGAGACAGAGAGTGGATGTGAGAGGAAGCATTTTGAATCCTGCCAATACTCTTGGACAAGACACTGGCCTCAAGCTGGGCTACTTTCTTGTTGCTCGGTGGTACCTAGTGATGTAAATTTTTTACAATGAGTCAGAGGCCAAATACGCCCCTTGAGCACCATAAAGTAAAATTTATTTGTTAGTAACCCAAACAATCAGATGGTTCCCAGAATAATCCCTTAGTCTACAATGAGCTCAGCTCATTTTCTGAGCCTCCTGGAACTAAAACCTTTCCCATCTATCCTGATGTAATATAATCAGCAACAGGGTTGTTCCTCGAGTTAACCTGACATTGCACAGAAGAACTGTAAACTGAAAAATATGCCTGACACTTCAACAAGTCAGTTTATGGTACCATATGGCTGACATTAGTCTCTGTGAGTGAAATTGGACATATTGCAGATATTTGTGTTTGTTCTGAATTAGACTCCATTGATTTATCATTAATTTTAAAGAAAGTCATAAATGTCCAATTCACCATCTGTTTGGTTCGTAAATACAGTATGTTACTACATCATTGCATTATATAATAAGAAGCAGAAACACTTTTAAGGTAAATAGAGTTCAGTAAGTACAAGATAGATCATCCAATAAGCAATTCTTGACTCTTGTCCAGCTCTGGATTACAACATTTTGCTGCTTATTAATGAAGTGACCCTGTAGTCAAGCATCTGGAAACATTTGAATGGATGAATCTGAATGAACATCTGTTAAGTAATCTATCAAATTATTAGTGTTTCCTCTTGGTGTTTATTGATTATTACTTAAGGTATTCCCGAGGTGATACCTATTTTTCTCTATACTGCAAAACAAGGAAGAATGGTAACCCATTATAATGTATAGTATAATCCAATATAACTTAAGTAAATAAATCACATTAATTCAAAACTCTTCAACGGATGTAGATTTTAACAATAATCATTTACAAGACTGTAATTTTCACTAATATTGGTGGACTGTTTCCATAGCAACCATTGGTGCGTCTAAGAGGCGGAGCTATGATAGGCGAGGGGCGAGTGGAGGTGTTGAAGAACGGCGAGTGGGGTACAGTGTGTGATGACAACTGGAACATTCGAGCTGCCACTGTTGTTTGTCGAGAACTGGGATTCGGAAGCGCCAAAGAGGCTCTGACAGGTGCCCGACTGGGGCAAGGTAGGTTCTACTACAGATTAGTCACTTTATAACATAGTACTACTATATATGTGGGTACAATAACATGGAGTTGGATTGAATAATAATAATGATAATAATAATAACAATAATAATAAAAATATAAACTCCTTTTAGACTGGGGAGTTCTAAAATAATTATTTAAATGAATATTCTATTAATTTATAATGTAATTCTTATATAAATAAATGTATTCATTTATATATTAATTGTAATTAAAGCGCAAATTAACACACAGTTTTAGTTTGAACAAACTGCCTTCACAAAAAAAGAAATGCCAAACATTATGTTTGAGGTAATTCAGGAACAGTTTCTCTATTACATTCAGTACATACCTTACCTTCACAATTCACTTATTCACTTATCACTTATGTTACAGGTTATTTAAAATGAAAAAATCGAGATAAATAAAAATCAGCCAATACATTGTCATCAGTTTTTTAAACAGGGCCTCAAAAATCCAATATTGGTCAGTCTTAAGAAGAAATTATGTAAGTATTGTGACATTCTGACTGCACTAAAACGTGGAGACCACAGTCACAACTCTCACCCATACAGGTAGACTGTAACTGTTCCTCCAGATATTCAGGGATCATCTTGAGATAGTGTTAAACTTAAATGCTTTAGCTTTCATTACATTTCACATTTACAGTACCATCAATCAACAAGCATCCAAACATAACATCAGGAAGAACTCATTCCCAGCTGTGAAAATGAAAGGTGTGGAGTGAAACCAGAGACCTCCACCTCCACCTTATCTTTGGCCTCTGTATCACCACCTGTTTATGTCTCACTTCAATCAGTCTAGACCTTAAGTCAGCACATAAATGCATTTGGGAATATATGGAGTAGCACATCAATGTTTATTCCTTGTCCAAAGAACCCGATTTTGTGAAATGCAATATACTTCAGCATTATAAGAAACATATGTTCATTGGAACAGTCGTCCTCTCCTCTGCCATATTCTTACAGCAAAACACACAAGTGCACAAAATGTTCCAGCAAAGAAAACAGCCTTTATGGATTTCAGAGGAGGAATTCTTTGTTGGAGAGTCTTCAAGGTTATTTGAGGGATTTTTTTTTTTTTTATGAGTTGACCACTGGATCCAAAAATGGTACCACACACAGACAGTAGACTTGAAATAGCTGATTGTGTTTCTTTTTAGAAGTCGTTGGAGTAGGCTAAACAAGGAAGACAATAAAAATGAAATGACGCTAGAAGGTGATTCCTGGACTTGTATGGGAGACAAAGAAAATATACCACTTAGGAAATTCTATCAGTTTTTCTTTTTTAGTATACAATATGTACGTAATATCTATTTTTACACTTTTTTCACTTGACCCACAGCAAGTTTCTGTGTCATGCAAATTCAAGTTAAATATTTTATTTATTTAATCTCTTATAATCATCATCGTCAGACATGGAAATTGACTGTGTTTACAACAGCACTGTGTTCTTCCCGTTGTTAATTTATTTTTCTCCAGTGACTGCCAGTCCGTCTCAGTCTTAGACTGAAATTTCAGAGCTAACATCACTAGAGACATTCCAGCTCAGTCACATGGGAAGAAAACTGGCATGGAAGAAGTAGTTGTACATGTTATTGTGGAAAAACCGTTTCAGATTACTTTTTTTAGTTTGAAAAAAATAAAAAGATGCAGAGAGAGTTTCTTTTTTTTTTTAACAGGCCTCAAGTGTCTCGTTTTCATTTGTCATAGTTGACTGCTTGTTTCCTTGTGATTCTAGGAAACAGGATGAAATGTTACATCTGTCTTCGGACAGAGTTGTTCTAACAAAACACTCAGGGAGGCGGGGCTACTGCTGTTTTACTCAGGAACACGGCTGTACTGGCTTGTGTATCCTAAAATTATATGTAGTCCAAAGATCAAATTTCTTTTATCCAGTAATGAAAATAGATGACACTCCTAAGACTATTTTCTGTTGCATTATGGACATGGTGACTGCTCCAGCCTGTTTTTAGTCAAAATAACTTTAGTAATAAGTTCAACAAATTGAAGATATTCAATGTGCCTGTGTGTTGGGTTTGTTTCCCTATAGGGATCGGGCCGGTCCACATGAATGAGGTGGAGTGCTCCGGGTTTGAAAAGTCACTGACTGAGTGCCACTTCAACCGTGACTCTCTGGGCTGCAGCCACGAGGAAGACGCAGCTGTCAGGTGTAATGTTCCTGCCATGGGTTTTCACAACAGAGTGAGTAACTCCATCTACGATGTCAAATAAAAACAAATTTTATTTACATAGCACTGCAAGACACATTTGTCTATCTCTGTCCTCAGCTTCGGTTAAGCGGTGGCCGCAACCCCTATGAGGGCCGTGTGGAGGTCCTGGCAGAGAAGAACGGCTCTCTGGTGTGGGGCGCGGTGTGCAGTGAAAGCTGGGGGACCATGGAGGCCATGGTAGTGTGCAGACAGCTGGGCTTGGGCTTTGCCAGCCACGCTTTCCAGGTAAGGTCTCTGGAATAAAATTTCTCCCTCTCCGCCCACTTCCATCAAATCATTTTTAAGATGAGCTTATCTTTACTGCGCAGGCCTCAGCATAAAGGAGATGGTCCGGGGTGCAGTTTGTGTGTGGCCACGTTATTTTCATTTATAAAATTGTCCCTCAAGTCACTAAACCACATAGTGCCACATACTGTATGTGTGGGTTTGGCTACTATGACATTATGTAGGATGCCAAGGTTCAAACTGTTAGGCAAGCCAGCTTGCACAGTAGTGATAAACATAGTAAACCGATGCTAAACTGTTTATGTTTATCACCAATATATGGCATTATCCATGTTTAACAAAATAATCTGAGGTCAACAGAAGTGCTTTGTAGACTGTCATTCTGTCTTGAGATTGCATCGACATTATGGCTATATGTTTCTGTATAATGTGGAGTTAATGTGAAGTAGATGTAAATTTACCTTATTGACCAGGTTAAATTGGTAAAATGGAAAGAAAAACGTTCACACACGTACAGACCCAGCTCATGCCCCTGCTCTTTCAACTTTCCTTTTCCTCACATGGCACCACCGTAACAAAGTGAGATTCATTTATAGCATTTTTTTTACAATTTGTTGAAAATAAGTCTGTGTTATTAGATTCTTTGAGTTGGACTTGAATTTGAGATTGCACGTTGCGATACGAAAGTTACAACATGTGTAATATGGACAAGATTAAATCAGTCTGGTAGAGCTACTACCCATGTCTGTGTGTGTGCACGTGTGTGTGTGTGTGTGTGTGTGTGTGTGTGTGTGTGTGTGTGTGTGTGTGTGTGTCAGGGGATGCTATTAACTCTCACTCTAATAAGCTTGAGCTTTATTGATCCCAGAGGGCAAAACAAAGATGCCGTTTGCTTGGAAACAACACAAACAGGCAGTCAGCACAGAATGCAGGTCAGCCATTTTTAACCTATGGCACAAAATAGCGTTCAGCTTCTCAGCGGGAGTGATGAGGAAAGTCTCGACTTCATGTTTGAAGTTTAGTGGACCCTCCAACAGTAAAGCCCCTGGCATGACTTGGCAGCGTCACAGTCCTGTCCTGCTTACGTTTCCCTCTTGCTTTTTAAAGGAGAAACGTGTGCTCCTTTTATATCATGAGGTGAGAGTCTGGTAAAGAGGAAGACCCCTGCTTGTGTTCTTATGTTTTTTTCTATTTTAAGGCAGAAACCAGTGGGGCATTTGTGGTTTAAGATTATATAGGTCTGGAAAGTATGTGTGAATCATTGGGACTTGCCCTGATAGCGGCAGGGGGTTTTATGAGTGGAACTTGGACCGGGTCTGGCGGAGGCTGTTTATCTGACTATGCTGTGTTTGGGACAATTACGTGTGATTCATTTCTAATCGAGCAACACATAAACATGTCATCATCTGTTTGCTGTCACTGCTCGAGCACTGGCCCTCAAGTCAAGTACAAGTCAACAAGTTTACTTTGATTACAAGTAGTTTTTTTTCACTTTATCAAAGAGTAATTCTGTGCCAAGTCAAATAATCAGGTCTAGGTATCATAATAACAAGTCTCTTTGCCACCACATACAGTTGCCATTGCATAAGAGTTCTCATGTTAACGGCAGGTTTAGGAGTAATAAATGTCTGCTCTTTGTTATCATAGCAGTGCAGGGAATCAGTTTCTCCAGAGACTCTTTCCTGTCTGACTTTTAAATGCTTCTGCAGGCAAATCCCACAACCAGATGGAACAAATGACACAGAGCTTAAACTATACAGCTGTATGTCTGTCCCTCTTCTCAACCCACCAGCAAGTACTCCCACATCCATATCTTTTTTCCATAGCTCAGTTTCTCATGAATCCTCCACTTCCTTGGAAGATGACGGAAAGTATGAGTTTCTTCTACAGAAGGTTTCCCCATGGTCTGCAAAATGTTGCAGTAAGGCTGAGTCAGAACTGTTGAGGACAAGCGAGCACCCCTCGCTGTGTGTGTGATGTGTGAAATACCATTTGATTAGATTTGCCTTGTGGGACAACTGAGATAATGTGACCTGCAAATTAAATACAGAAGGAAAATTAGATAATGTCTCAGTTCAAAACCGTCCCACACACATCTTCTTTTCCAAAACAGTTTAATTAGCAGCACAATCTTCATTTGCTTGTTTCCAGCTGTGAAATTATGTAACAGAGCTATGGACTTAAGACTGAGATTTAAAGAATTAGTTTGACATTATGGAAAACTCCCCTCTTTGCTTTTTTGCCAAGAGTTAGATGAGTAGATTGATCATGTCCGTACGCTACATATGAAGCTACAGCCAGCAGACAGTTAAAATATTGTAGCTTAGCACAAAGACTGGCGACGGGGTGAGAAAATCTCACCCATGCACTACGGTGCCACACGAGAGGTACAAACTAGAGTCAGGTTACACTTCAGTTTTTGTGAAGATTGAATAAGTTAAAGGTGTTTAGGAGGTGGGTTTTGTAACCTTTGGACAGAGCCAGGCTCTAACTTGATACTATGAACTATTCACTGAAGTCACGACAAGTCTTTGGAATTTCTTGATTATCATTCAGGTGAATTACCTCTTCTTTCTTTTATGTGCTTTTCTTTATTCAGGAAACATGGTACTGGGAAGGAGATTCCTCATCTAATTCTGTGGTGATGAGTGGAGTGAGATGTTCAGGAACCGAGCTGACTCTGGATCAGTGTCTACATCATGGGAAACACATCGACTGCCCGAAAGGAGGTGGACGTTTCTCTGCTGGGGTCTCATGCACTCAGAGTAAGAAACTGCAAAATATAAATGCTGTATACTGAAGAAGTTTACACAGCTTAAGTGGAGCTTTACTGTAATATAAACTTTAGATATAGATATATAGAAGATATAAACTTTGTAAAACAGTTTTCTCAAAACCAGTTCCTTGTTACTCTCTCCCTCCCAGCGGCCCCAGACCTGGTGCTCAACGCTCAGGTTGTAGAGCAAACCACCTACCTGGAGGACAGGCCTATGTACGCGCTGCAGTGTGCCGCAGAGGAGAACTGCCTCTCCAGCAGCGCTGACAAAGCCGACTCCAGCTCCTACCGCCGCCTTCTCCGCTTCTCCTCCCAGATCCACAACAACGGACAGTCAGACTTCAGGCCGCGGGCAGCACATCACTCCTGGATTTGGCATGAATGTCACAGGTGAGACCTCATGTCATTCTCAAGTGAAAGTTAAATTCAACACAGTAAATAATTAATTACCAATGTGTAACAGTTCTGAAAATCTCTATATCCTGTTGGCAGCCAGGCCTTTCAGCCTGTACTCCTGCTGTAATTGCTGTTCGGAGTGGCTTCTGATAAGAGCATGTATGTTAATGTGGGGTTAGGGTTAGCTAAAAGAGCTAAAAAGAGGTATGTATGGGGGAGGTTTCAACATCTATTTTTTTGCCTGTGTCCCTTGTAGACATTACCATAGTATGGAGGTTTTCACCCACTATGACTTGCTGAGTCTGAATGGCACTAAAGTGGCAGAGGGACACAAAGCCAGCTTCTGCCTGGAGGACACCTACTGTGACGAAGGTAAAATATTCATTCATTTTGTTGTCTTTCTTAAGAATATAATACACAAAAAAAGTTAGTATGATTTCTAATATCAAAATATGAATGATCCTGCTTATAATTGACATTGTTGTTGAATGATGTGATAAAACTTTGCTCTGAATGCTGACAGGTATCCAGAAAAGGTACGAATGTGCGAACTTCGGTTCACAAGGAATCACTGTTGGCTGCTGGGATACCTACAGACATGACATTGATTGTCAGTGGATTGACATCACAGACGTGAAGCCTGGCGACTACATCTTCCAGGTTAGTCTGTTAGCCGTGGTGCATGGTAAAGATCTTCTCATCTGCAGCCAGTGTAGTCTCACAGACCAAACAGACACTTTCCATGTCTCTGCAACTGCTGTGGTTTGGCATTCAGCCTAAGTATACTCTTATTCAGACTTGAAACAAGTGAGCAGGGGTTGGTGGAGGATGCAGATAAGTCTGATGGACTCTAGCTGTTGTAGAAACTACATTTACAAACTCTGACCCTATTAGAAAATCATCTGAAGCAGTTGTAGAAATTCAACTTTTTCTTTTTGAGACAGTTACTGCGTTCAGTCACCCTGCCACCCTGTTAGTCTTCTGACAGTTACTAAACCTGTATTATTCTGTCCTTGGTAGTACTCAAAAATGATTTATTAATAGTGTATAAATGTATAAAGGGGAAACATTTTGCTTTCACTTGTTTTAACATGTTTTTTTCTCTTCCAGATTGTGATAAACCCTAACTATGAGGTTGCCGAATCAGATTACACCAACAACATTATGAAGTGTCGCTCCCGGTATGATGGCCAACGGATATGGACATACAACTGTCGTATAGGTGAGACCATAATCTACTCTGCATTTGGGTTAAATGATATTAACTACAATCATAAAACATCAAGTTTGGAAAATTAGGCTGAAAATTCAAAACTCGAATATACGTGTAACGTACCTGACTGCAAAGGATATGAAACCAAATATTAAATGTGTTGACCATGTTTCTGTTTAAAACTGAACGACAGATTTTACACTTTTCATCTGGTGTATCATCCTCATATTAAAAGTTAATATAATTAACACTGAACACTGTTCAATTTTAAATCCAATGTTCAAACACACAACACAAAGTGTTACTGTCCTAACACTTTTTTGCTGTATTGTAGAAACTCACCCAGCACTTTATTAGAAACACCATACTATTTACTGGGTAGGGCCTCCCTTTGTTCTCATTGCATAACTTCATTGCTGCTGATTTGTCAGCTGCACGTTCATACTGCCAATTTCCTGCTCTACCACATCCCAAAGGCTTTCTGTTGGATTCAGATCTGGTAACTGGGAAGTCCACTGAATTTCATTGACCTCATTGTCAGGAAGCCAGTTTGAGATGACTTTTGCTGGAAGACGCTAAACTGTGTCCATAAAGGGAAGCACATGGTCAGCAACAATACTCAGATAGGCTGTGGCATTCAAACCGTGATAGATTGTTATTAAGGGACCCAAAGTGTGCTAGGAAAACATTCCCCACACCATTGCACCACCACCAGCAGACTGTTGACACAAGGCAGGTTGGGTCCATTGATTCATGCTGTTGATGGCAAATTCTGACCCAAACATCTGCTGCCTCAGCAGAAATCCTGATTCATCAGACCAGGCTATGTTTTTCCAGTCTTCAACTGTCCAGTTTTGGTGAGCCTGGGCCCACTGCAGCCTCACATTTCTGTTCTTGGCTGACAGGAGTGGAACCTGACGTGATCTTGTGCACTCTAAGATGCAGATTTTCTGCTCACCACAGGTGTAAAGAGTGGTTATATGAGTAACTGTAGCCTTTCTGTCAGCTCCAATTATTCTGGCTGATTCTCCTCTGATTTCCGCTCATCATCAAGGCGTTTCTGTTCACAAAACTGATGTTTGATGTGAACATTAACTGAAGCTCCTGCCCTGAATCTGCATGACTTTAAGCACTGCAGTGCGGCAATATGACTGGCTGATTGGATACTTGCATGAATAAGCAGGTGTACAGGTGTTCCTAATAAAGTGCTTGGTGAGTGTATGTTTATTTAAAATGTTACAACACTTTAACTTCTTTTATACAATGTATCATGTCAAAAACCACGTATAGTTTTCATATTTCCATGGGATTGTGCTGCACTTAATGCTACAATCAAGTCAATTCTTCCCTGAAATTAGACAATACTGTAGTTTAGTTAAACTATACAGGTAACCCACATGGCAATGCATAGACATTCCATAGGATAAGTCCTGTCAAACTAAATCAGGCACAAAAGATAATTTCAGGGAAACAGCCCATTTCAGTTTGACAAAAAATAAAACACTCATCTTCTTTTACTGAATACAAACGTATACAATTCTCTCTTAATGGCATGTTGTACCCCCTTTACAGAAGCTTGATGTGACAATATGACACAAAGTATCATAACAGTAACATGTACAGAGGCTAAACATTCAAGTTTCCAATTCTCAAACTTTAGTAGATCAAAAACATCTATGTTTTCTGTAATATGGAGTGAGAAACAACTTGCCTCCGAGGCAACAATCCTATGGTAGTTTTTGCTATTTAAAATAAATATTAAGAACAACTGAACATTTTGCAACTTCTTTACAAAAAAAAAAACAAAATTTTACAATGAACTAAAATATTAGAAAATATCTATCAAGTCCAGTTTAACACTGTTGTTACATGCATTTTTTATTTTATTTTAACTGTGTTTCCCTTAAATGCTGGCTTTTAAAAAGAATAGTGTTTTTTAACAGATCTGCTTCTGTTCATGGATCTACATTACATTTGTCTGTTAGGAGCTTTGCACTCCATATAAAAATCTGTAACTACAGCGCACAATGAAATAGATTTCTTTAACCAAATCCTGAGAATTAATCTGTGAAGGAATTTGAAATTATTTTAGAAAAAAAAATGCTACTTTATGCAACCAATCCTGGATCGCCTGGTCAAGTAGGAAACAAAAACACCCTGTCTGGAAATTGAACAACGTTGAAACGCACTTTAGTTTCAAGGCAACATGCAATCAAATCAAAACAAGTATAAGAGCTTCTCCAGTTTTCCCCAGTGCCCTTTCAGCTATCCGAAATAACGGCTTGAATCAGACTGTTTCATACCTCATTGTTTTTTTAACACGGATATATCAGTGTCTTATTATTAGTGACCCTAACGGTGAACAACAGGAACCACAACAGTAATGTCCAAAGGTCAGGGGTCAGGTTAAGATACAGAACAACACTTGGTGGTGATACGGTGTCATGTTGGACGACACTTGAGCAGGGTGGATGTTATGTTGTGGGCAGTAAAGCAGGCAAACAGTGGTGGACGGTAGGTATACTCTTGATGATCAGTTAGAGGTTTATGGCCACTGTAAAGCCTGTTCAGAGGCAGACCTCTGCTGGACCTTTCTGTAGAAAACAAAAAGACCATTAGTTGATATTTTAAAAGGTATCATATCACAACATGGTACAAAATGTACCATTTCCAATATTTAGTTTGTAGACAAAAAGTTTGCCATTTCATTTTGAGAAGACTCCACTATCGATAAATTGCAAATGAAATATTTCTTTAGTTGTGCCATCACTTCATCACATCAGAGGGTTGCTAGGTAATGTCAGAATGGCTTGTTTGGACGGTGCATTTTTACTGTTTTAAGTTGAGATTTGTTTGACATTTGATTTGCATTTTGTTACATAGTATTGTTCTTCATCATCCTCTCCCTGTCTGACCTCACAGGTGGCACAATGAGTTCAGAAACAGAGGAACCATTCCCTGGACTGCTGACCAACCAGCTGTCACACAGGTAGACCCGAGATGGACAACACAGACGCACGGACGTTGGGGAAGCAAATATAAATATTTGACAACCACTAGAGGGGGCTGTACTGCTTTGCTTCCTCAGATCAGTGCTGGATTGATGAGTTCAGAGCTCAACTGGTACAACAGACAATGATTCAATGAGAAAAAAGACCTGCTTGCTTATTAAATGTATTAACCACATTCAGCTGTACAAAAATGTTCTTATCTCTTCGTGTCTCTTGCCTTTGTTGTCAGTGAAATGTAGGTTTTGACCTGGTGCTTAATGGGAGAGATGTCAGGGAGGATTGCAGCCAAATTATTTATTAAATTAACTGTACCAACAGTAACCTTCTAAGCCAAATTTTCAAGCATTTGGGGAAGGCCTCAAATAATAATAAAAAAACATTAGATGAGACCTTCAACTATCATGTATATACATGTTGTCAGCATTTTGCACAGTATGTTCACTCCCCATCACAATTGAATTGAAAGACAGGTGTATAAATCACATTTGCGTCCACAGTATTAGATAGTAAAAGGCCTTAACTAGAAACCAAGATCAGATGCACTACACGATTATAATTACTGCAGAGAAACAAGCCACAATCTATGGCAACAACACAACTGACAAGACAAATAACTTGTTTTCAGAAGAACTGTGTTTAAGCTTTCTACAAATTATGACAACTTGCAACCACAACTGCAATATAGGCAGTGAAAGTTGGGGTTTATTTTTGCAATTTCTGTCAGAGCTACTCCAGTGCTGAATATAGTGGATTTATTTATGCCAACAGTTGCTTGGATTTGGTTCCTACAGTGACAATCTGCAATGATTTTCAGTCATAAATTTAAGTCAGAATTAAGCTGAGAGGGAAAGTGCTTTTTGCTTCCAGGATTTTGTGTTCCACATACTTGAGCTCACTTTTGAAAATGTTTTATTTATTGAATATTTTTTTCTTGGTTGTTACAGTAGACACACATTTTCATCTTTATGAAATGCACATCCCCTCAGCTTATTTTTCAGTTTTGTTTAAATTATTACCATCAGGGACTATGATAACATTGTGGATGTACTGTAATAGCCTCAAATGTGTGTGAAAATGCCTCTTCATTGTTTTGTAAATTTGTTTTTTTAATGTAGCAAATTGAATGACCCCTCTTTTTTTATAAGGGTACTTGTTGTGGCCTGATTGTTTTTATTTTGTATGCAAGGGTGAATGTGGAAAAGCGTTACGTTGTTTGAAATAAAAGTGGTAAAAGCAGATTCCAGATTATTGGATGAACCTTTTGCATAATGTTAAAAGGAACAAAGGATGGAAGACACACAGCAGTAATATGACACTTAAAGGTACTATTTATTCTGCAATTAGTGGTTTTACATGTGCTGTCTATAGTTTAGTGTTCTGATCACTAGCATTTAAATAACAATGGTGGTTATAGTTGGACAAAAACCTAACAACAGTGTTATCCAACTAAATGTGATAAAAAACCTAGCATGTGATTAGCTAGAAAAACCACCTTAATTGAAAAACATGTACATTTTTTTCCTGCCCACAACAAGAAATTCACAGCCACACACAATGGCACACAGGCTGTTTTCATGTTTTCATGTCACAAAAAAGAAAATAATAATCAACAACTCCTCAGCCAACTCCACAGGCTTTGATTAGTCTGTTTACCTGTATATACCAACACTGAAGCACTTCTCCTCAGTAACGTTGCACTCTGCCTCGTCCCGGCAGTCCAAGGGCTCTGGTCACCATCCGCCTGGCAACAGCACAGTCTGTCCTGGGACGTTCCTTCACTGGCTGGATAAACTCTGGTGGACAGCACAGAAACATCCATCTGATCCATGTAATCCAGTGTTACAACAAAAAACTAGTTGCCACACTAAATATTAGACATCATAGAAGGTAAAAAATATTATTGCTTAAGATATCTCCTAAAACAGCAAGCAAACACAGCAAGTGAATCTCGTACCTGCTCGTCTAATGGCCTTGCCTTTGGCTTTTTTACTCCCTTCAGACAGTGCTCGTGCCTTAAGCAGTGGGTGGCAGATGGAGAGGGCATGAAGTGCTGCATGTGACAGCAAACAACGCTATATATTAGTAGAGTTTCAGTCATATTCATTAGCTGTAAACCTCAATCCCACCTGTGGGAACTCATACCTGCTGACTCATTGGAAAAAACTCCCAGGGCATGTGTGTTGTCCACCCACTTGATCTTCATTCCACCATCACTTGAACACACAGAAGAGCAGATGTTTTTAGTAAATTCTGATTACAGGTTTATTGGCTGGATCAACTGTTTGGGATGATTTTATTTTAATAATGTTGGACACACACCAATAGGATGAGAATGTTTTCCTCCAAGTCTCAATGAGAGTATTTTGTTGCAGCGTAAATACAGAAGAAAAACATGTTCTTTTGCTGATGACTAAACTTAGAAAAAGAGTAAACTTAAATTCAAAGGACTAAAGGACTAAAATACAATCGCTATGAAGACAACCTGAGCTGTGAGGAGGTTTAGGATATTAACTCTCTATTCACACCTGTATTCCGTGAAAGCATCCAGGAGGTCATCTGTTTTGAAGATAGGCGGGAAGTCATAGATCTCGATCACGTGACGGAACTCATCCGCGCTGATGCACACATTCTCATAAATGGAGTAGTCATTGTGGACGTGCTCAATGGAAAAAGACACTGCCTCTTTCAGATGTGCCTTGATCTGATATGGAAGAGACAAAATAACTGGTTACAATTTACTGAGAGCGAACATTAAGTACAAAAACACATAAGTGCCAAGCAATGGAATGGAAAATACCTAAAAAATAAGACATGATAATAGTATTAATATATGTATATGAAGATTGATATAGAAGTAATAGAAGAACAACCACACCTTCAGAATGAAGTGTTTGCTAACTTACCTCTTCAGTTACATCATCTGTGTCTGTGCTTGTATCTTCTATCTGGGAGCTGTATGGCACACTAGCAAAGTCTTCTTTGTCTTTCACATCCTCCTCCAGAGTCATTTCAGTGAAGCAGGATACAGTCTGGTCCCAAACAAGGGGCTCAGTTTCATGCAGCCTCAGCACCAACTTTTGTCTCTCTTCCTGAGGACAACGTGCTGAACTGTCCGAAATATGGTTGAGGATACCGTCTGTTACACTGGGGGGTGATTCCTGTCTGGATGTGGATGAGGGCTTAGTGTTTTCTGAAGTTTCATAACAGGAACAAGAGTCAGATGAACTGCTGATGTGGCTACAGCTACTAGAGGCTGGACTTGGTTTCTCTTTGTATGCTGTGGGTCCTTGTGAGTTTTGTGAGGACAGTCTCTCCCGAGCAGCTCGTGGCATGTAAAGAGGTTTGTCTGGCCTCTTAGGTCCTCGGCTTCGTGATGGGATTGAAGTTTTAGGCTTAGCAAATCCGTCCATCTCCTCCTTACTTCTTAGAGGCTCTTCACACAAGCTGTTGTTGCTCTCCAAGTCACTGTCTTCCTCGATCTCACCCCTACAGAAAAACCAACAAAAACCCACATTTGTATTAAAACCCTTAATTGAATTTGCAATTAATTACTAATTTCCGATCAGTTTTAATGACCAGTATTAGCTGCTTTTGTATCCTGCACTAGACAAACTACCTGTGATTTTTTTCAAGTCAAGTCAATTTTATATGTATAGTGCCAATTCACAACAGAAGTTATCTCAAGGCACTTAATTTCTTTCAGTCTTATAAGACAACTTCTTAAAAAAAAAAAACAACTGGTAAATTGAATCTTTAACTCCAACATATCATGATTCTATGTATTGTAACTGTCACCACACCTGATCAGAAGAAGTCAGTTTCTATTGCTCATTTTAAAATTGCATACGACCGCAATTAAAATATCAATCAGAGTTTGGCTAGGACTGTGCATTTGATCTACTTATGTACATTCTGTACCTGAGCTCAGAATGGCAGACCACAACCCTGCGACACCAGCTTTCTCCTACTGAGAAGGTGGTGAGCTCTGGTAGGTCTTCTATGGTCCTGTGTATCAAGTATCGCAGTCTGCTGGGTAGACAGGGGAACAGGAGCACGCTGGAGAAAGACAAAGAGGACATGACAATAGACATGGAGAGTAAGATGTCCATATTGTCTTAGGGCAGTATAAAAGCAATTTCATTTTTAACAACATAAACCTGGCATTGTGGCTTTAATGTCAATGTATATATATATTTTTTTTTTTTTAATTAGGTAGTGTCACTGAGATCATGATATATTTTTGAAAGAAGGTACACCAAAAGAAAAAAGTACAGAAAGAAGAAACAATCACACACATCTCTGTCAAGGTCCAAAATTTAATACTTTAAATCCAACCAATAGGAAGGGATGTTCCACTTTGAAATTCTTTTATAATTCAGTTTATTATATTATGTAAATTACTGGAAGGTAGTATGCCCTAGTTTAGTATTTACTCATGGGGTATCAAGAGTTGGCCGGTCCTAGTATCTAATCTGAGGAACGTCTGTAAATAAGAGAGGCAAGTAAGTCTGGTGTCCTCTTCTTGTTTCTGGTGAAGACCTTGCCTACTTTTCCATAAAGTACAAAGTGATTGGTTCTGGATAGAATATTTATCTCCATACCATACACAGGGCACAGAGATTAACTGTGCCATGTTGTTTTAGGGTAGAAAGAGCACAAACAGGATGGTAGATTGCACCATGCAATGCAATGTTTTTCTTTCCTCAAGAGAAAAAAATTCTTATTCAAATACAAGAAAGCTATTTTTAACTTCAGTTTTTGTGCTACTTATTTCCCATGAGGTGAGCCTTACCTCTTCTGGTTGCTTTTCTGTTGGTATGTTTCCAGCTCATCCATGACATGGTGCACGAATTCATTTTCTTGCTTTGGGAGGTAAATGCCATCGAAACAAGGAAACGCCAGGGTGGACATAAAAGGATGGATCCTGATGATGGGTTAAGTTAACTTCTTACTGATTTAAGTGGCTGTAACGTTAAAATAAATCCAACTTGAGCCAAATGCAAATTCACTGTGACCTGTAAGCTAGCACCCACGGTAAAGGTCAGCCAAACTAACAATACCTACGCTAGTGAAAGCTACATAGAACAGAAAGATAGCTGATTATGTTGTTTTCATTGCTTTCACCACGCGTTGAAAACTCAAGACAAAACTAGCTGACTTTATTTAACGTCAACGTTCGTGTTGAAACTGTTAGTCTAGCAGGCGTTAGTTACTGCATGTAGTGGCTTCAGTGGGCTTACCGTTGTGGTTTAAATGTATTATTTTTGACCTGGGTTTGTTTTAGTGAGATATTCAGCCCACACCAGCACAGGTAACAGTGACAGGCAGCAGCGGCTCGGTAGCTAGCTAGCATTGTTTAGCTTCCGGAAGCAGATGTTTTTTTTTTTGTCCGTTCCTTTACAGGCAGCAAGATATCCGTTCTGATTTCTTCATAATAAAAGCGACGGTCCTACAAACCTAGCCAAACAAAAAAAATAACCCAAAAAACAAGATGTACAGTGGCTCAGGATAAAATAAAGAATAAAAGCAGTAGTACAACAATGTTGAAATACTCTTCTACAAGTTAAAGTCTTGCATTCAAAATGTTACTTAAGTAAAGGTACAGATGTATTAACATAAAAATATAAGTTTCCTTCCTGGTGTTTTATTATGAACAATTTGTTCATAATGAAGTCCTAAAATTCTAAATATTTTGCTTCTAAATGTAGTGGAGTGGAAGTATAAAGTAGCAGAAGGTAAAAATAATCAAGTAAAGTACTAATATTGTAATAAAGTACAGTATTTGAGTAAATGTGTTAGTTACTTTCCACCACTGCATATGAACTTTGATTTCTGAAATGAGGTCAAACACAAGGAGCTCTGCAGATTTCAGGAAAAGACTATTTATTTAGACAAAACAGAACAATATTTGTAAGAAAAGTAGACCAGTTATATCAAACACCAACTACAGCAATCATCTGTGGAGTTCAGAGTGTTTAAGGTTCCTGTGGTGTTTGGTGATGAAGAAAAAGGGGATGGCATTCGCAATATAGATAGTGAATCTTACGAGAAACATGTACCAGGACTGCTGGATATGATTTAGGAGATTTAGTGCAGTTAAAGTATGACAGCAAAGAAAGACATTTCATAAAATGTACTAGGTCCTGTTATTGTTTTATGATAGATTTATGATAGACTTATTAACGGTAAACATGCTCCATCTTTGAAGTCACAAGACAAGATTCCCCTAAAAAGTCACATTCATCCACAAGTAAGAAAACATCTGCCTCAACAAAGGCTACAGCCAGCATGTTAATACTGTGGAGCACAACCCAAAACAGAATTAGTTTACAGACTGTGCCAACAACACAGCTCCAACCTATTTCTATGACAACTCTTGGTGACAACATATTATTTGACTTTGTATCATTTGGAATACAATACACAAGTCCAATCGCTCATGATTACCATGGTCAAAAACTGGCATTTAACACAATGGCACTATTTATAAAGACCGGTCTTTATCAACTAGGACATGATTTATACAGTCCAGACAGTAAATATTTGGACAGTAACACATTTTTGCTCTTCTGGTTCTATGCCTCAGCACATTCAATTTGAAATAAAATAATAGATAATACAGTAAAGTGCCATGTCTAAGCTTTGATTTGAATAGGTTTACATTAATGTAGAGAGAACTGTGTTGGAAATCCAGCTCTTTGAACGCATAGTGCCAAGGTTTAGGAGTTCAAAAGTAAGTGGATAGATACACATGGTAAAAAAAAATCATATTTAATATTTTTTGGAAGACCACCAGACACTTTGTATCTTCCCTGATGATATTCCACCTCTTCACCTGGAAAAGCTCTTTGCTTTGCTTTGGACGCACATTTAGGATCACTGTCCTGCAGAATTATGAAATGCCACCCAACGACTTTTGATGCATTTGGCTGCATTCATCCTGTTGCTTGTTGCCATATGAGCTCTTTTCTGAACTAATGTTGAAACGACAAACAGGTGCCAAGTGTCCAATTACTTTTGAACCCTTGCTTTATGTGTTAAAAGGGCTGTGTCTCCCACACACTTCTTTCTAATATTGATGTAAACCTACTAGAATTGAAGTTGAGACTTGGTACTTGTATTATTGTATTTCAGTTTAAATGTGCTGAAGCTCAGAGCCTGAAGAGTAAAAAACTATATCACTGTCCAAATACTTTTAGTCTGGCCTATACATTGTTTCATGTATAAAAAGACATGAAAACACATTAACAAACATAAGGATAGGCAGACGGTGGTGTGCTTATAAATAACAGAAAAAAAAGGATCAGATCAAAATTATTTACATCCATTCAGGTGAAGCAGATATCTGAATGTGTCCTGCCAGACAAATGAGGAATATCTGGTCAGTGTCATCAGTCTATAGAAAGAGTAGGAAAGAAAGGAAAACATCTGTTAGAGAATAAACAAAAGGTTGAAGCCAATGGAGTTTTCAGTGTTGTTAAGGCGTCCTGATGAGTAAATTGAAGTTGTCATCAAATGATGTAATTATCAGTGTCAGAAGTTGGACTACAGATAATAAACAAATTTTAAGCCTGACTCTTTAGGAAAATCCCATCTCGGAATTCAGATTTCCCATTTTATGAGCAAGAATGTGATATTGGAGCTTCTAAGATTTTACCAATGAAGCTGACTCTTCATTAACAATGCACCTGAGTAACAACATACCACAGGACTCTTTATCTTCCAGAGCCAATACTTCTGTCCTCAAAGATGGTGATTTCAACCTGGATAGCAAGTTAAGGAAAATACATAATGCTACATGCACACATTTTCTTATATAATTAACAGCAATCTGATTTTCTTAGTGTACACAAGGTTGCACCAGCTATGTTTTGTTTTCATTATGGGGTTACTATAGCGATGCAGGCTTAAACTTACTTTAAACTATCCAGGAATACCATGACCAAACATGTAGATGGAAAAAGGTATAACCTAACAGAAATCCTCATTTCACGGTATAACATGGTTATGTGCTGCTATGTGGAAAAAATGAATGAAATTGGCCTGACATTAGACCGATAAAGGATACAACTCTGAGTCCTCTCTCTATGGGGTCAGTCAGCAGCAAACCCCTGGGAGCATATATCTTCTCATTCTGGTCCTTAATGTACCTGGCAATCTTCTTTAACACCTTTACATGGAGAAATGGATACACACTCAGAGAACAACATAAAACTATAAGAGAGGCAGTGATATTTAAATCCAATCCAATTCAGACTACAATATGAGCTGATGATATACACAATACAACACTGAAGCACTTGTACCTTTTCATAGTGTGTCTCCATACAAAGGAAGATTGTGTATGCAGTTAGACAAGCCAGGCAGCCCTCCAAGTAAGACTTCCCCCCTAGTTTCTCTGCCTCTGCATACAGGTTGTTTAAAGTTTGGATGGTCTCCTCAAACTGCTGCTTATCGATCTGAAACCACATGAACGGTTTAAAGGCATAATCTTTAAATACTGAGTCAGCAATGATAACATCCTTGTAAATACTGTGCCTACCCTTGACTCAAGTTCAGAGGGGAACTTTGTCTGGAACTTGCAGATGGTTCCTGAGCTGTAGTCTCTCTGGATAAACACCTTGGAGGAGACAGCTGGCTGCTGGAGGTCCTGTAAGCTGTGGGTCTGGAGAAAGAATCAAAATTTGCGTGACTCTGTCATGAAGAGTGCCTGTCTGAAAGGCTGGAACAGTGGCAACGACTGTAAAACTAGATTACACTTAAACTAGGGAAATCAGCACGCTTATACTAACATCATCTAGCAATTATAACTTGCATAAGATAACATTATTATTAAACTACTTGCTACCACAACATCTAATTTCTTTCCTCATATATTTCTACCTCAATGACAATTACCACCTGTGTGATGTTGACACTGCATTCATTTTTAAAATATCAACTACGATTTGCTTATGATATGGGGTAACGTAAGCTAGCGTTAGCTAATAACACATTAGCTTACGTTTGCTGACCCATCAACGCCGCTGGAAAATACGGCAACGTTAGACTTTATCATCACCGAAACGAAAAAAATCACCGTAAACACAAAACTACGTTAGGCATCCAACTACATGTCAATCCTTAAAAATGAATAAAACCCCCCAGAAAACCCTCACCTCAGCCATAGTGGACGTTTCCCCTGTAGGTATTGCGCATCGATGTTCCAGCGCTACCAACCAAGGACGACTTCCGGCTCACCGTTTTCAAAATAAAACGGCCTTTCGCACAGATGCATTACTAACATCACATTTTTAATTTCTTCGAGATACACTCATCTCAATAGCCTGTAACTGCGTGAGGTTCAAGGATGCGATATACTCCCAGTCTTAGCATTTTAGCGCCCAAAACTTACAAACTCAAGAGAATTAGTAATGGCAGTCCCTCTGTTCACCCGCTTAAAACATTTTTCATAGTGTGTGAAATCGCAGTTTGATGCAGTGTATATTAAAATTAGTACATACAAAAAGTGATCTAAATGTGTAGAGGTGGATTGCTGTTTATAATAAAAAAATTAAAAAAAAAAATTCTGTGTAGATTACATTAAAATGAGCACTTATACAGTACTTTTCCCATTTTAACTAATTTTTGTATTATACAGGTTTCGCTTGATTGCTATACATTTGCATGTCTTTTACCAGAGTTCCTTGATCCTACTCAACTCTGGCATTTATTCTGAAGGTTGACACGCCCAAACAGGATGTTTGTAATGGTTTTCCCTTCCACCAGCTTCAAGTAAAAAATGTTTCAGCAAAACTGAACGTCGTTTCCGGTACATGGTTAAACCCATTCACCCAATCTAGTAATTTTGAATCCAATTGTAAAATGAAGCCAAGTTTTTACCCTCTCCAGTTCAAATTTGTCCAAGTTCTATTTCTTTTATATAGTGTTCACCCAATAAGCACAAGTTAACAGTCAGAAGCTCAACATGCAACTGCAGTTTAACCATGTATCCTATCAATTTAATGCAAAAGAGAAAACACAAGGCACAAGGAGCTAGAGAGATTTTTTTTTTATTTTTATTGAATCATGGTCTTGTGATTCAAATCTGGTTCCGTTCGCTGCATCTGTTTTAGTCAAACAGACCAAAGCCCATGTCGTCGTCGGATTCCTCAGACTCTTCCTTGACCTCTTCCTTAGCAGCAGCTGGAGCTGCAGCAGTCTCAGCTGCTGCTGCAGGTGCTGCAACAGCAGCAAAAGCAGATGGGTCAGCCAGGAAGGCTTTGACCTGTGAGGACAAAAAGGTACAACATTAGTTTCTCTCTACACCAAGTGGTTTCTGGTGATTCCAAAAAACAGGTTGCCATTTCCAGGGTGATCAGCTATGTAGCACTACACAGGCTACACCCAAAACCCATCCTGCAGGTAAAACTAATGGCATAGTTTCCTAGTTGAATGAATTGCACCATACCTTGTCTGCCAGGGGGAAGGAGTAGTCTGTCTCCACAGCGACAGCCAGGACCCTCTTGTAGCCATTGATGATGGAGTGGGGGACAGAGGCCAAGGTGGGGTAGCCAATCTCCAGGCACACACTAGCAATGTTCCTCACACCCTAAAGAATCACATTTTGTTTAGTTATCTTACAGCAACAATCAATGTCAGACTGATATCGCCAAACAAGCAGTGGATCTCACCTCCAGGAACCTGGCGTGCAGGGAAGCCTCTGTGATGTCAAGCACCTCAGGACTGTACACGCTGCCATTGTCATACACTTGCTGGATGATGAGTCCGAAGGAGAAGGGCGAGATGTTCAGCATGTTGAGCAGCGTGGCCTCGCTGGCACCAACCTTGTCACCAGTCTTGATCAGACTGACATCGCTCTGGGAGAGAGAAATGCTTATTAGTTACTGATTTAAACATTTACATATTCTGCTTGGTTAAACACCTGATTCATTTAAGCTTTTATATATACACACACAGAGCAATGGCTCCTGCATGTCAAGCATACAAATTCTAACTACCAATGGTTTTCAAACTCACCAAGATTTCAATGGTTCCCCTGGAGATCTTGGTGGTGATGCCCAGAGCCTGGAAGAAAGAGGTCTTCTCGGGACCCAGACCAGTGTTCTGGGCAGGCACCGTCACATCACAGGGGGCGATGGCTCCAGCACGGGCAGCTGCAGGTACCTGAGGTATTAAGAGGAACAGTTTAGTATGCTACTTTTCTAGGACTGAATTAAGTTTCAAAGGGCAGGTTTAAACAGCCACATGTTCTCTTTTCAATTCACTGTTTGAAACCTTACGTCCCTGGCAGTCAAGGGGTGCTGACAGACAGGGATAGCGAGGAAACAGGTTACTGTTTGCAGGGGGAACGACAATACAGTACTGCACAAGCTGCATTGTAACTTATCCTGCACATTGACAGTGTCTGAACATGGGTTTGACAGTACCAGTTAACTAGGTAACCTCTGTTGCTGAAGGGATGTGCACATGATGTTTTCTACCTTCAAAATCCATTTGCTAGCACTAACTGAGAAACATGGAAGTCTTGATGTTTTGTTTTCAACATGAAGCCCATTTGACAGTTTGGCAGTGTAGGAGACCAATTTTTTCATCTCGTCAAAGATATGAAGTCTACTTGATTTTGGATCATGTCATAATTGTCATTTTAAGTAGTTGGGAATTTAGTCACATGACTAGGTACACTTTTGCCAAAACTAATGCAGTCAACACAATAGCCTTCCAATAACTCCTACTTTCAAGAATTATTTCAGTTCTAGAGGTGCCAACTCAAATTTATGCCCATTAGAGGCTGTAGTTGGCACTGTTGATTATATGACTTGAGGGGTGTTTTGAATATTGTCCACTCCATTTGTATCAACTGGCATTGAAGGTCCCATAACTAAAAAATAAATTAAAATGCTTTAGTTTAAACTTGGTGTACTTAGAAGAAAAAAAAAAATCCACCTCACAAAATAAATTGCACATCAAAATAGATGTACAGAAACTAAATGGACAACTAAACGTACTGAACAAGTGGTGGTCAACCTGAGCAAGACAGTTGTAGCCAGGTTTCTCTCACCTTGTTGGCCAGCAGCATGTCCCTGACCTCAGCCAAATCCTCCTTGGTGAAGACAAAGCCCACATTTCCTTTAATGTGGGGCAAGAGCCTGTCAAATAATGGGATCAACTGTTTATTAAGCAAGCAGACCATAATTTCTACAAGAAGGAAAAGCTGTATAGTGTCTGAGACCTTGCGTCCCTGGCTGCCAGGTGGATTTAGGCAGACAGGGATAGCTGGAAACAGATTGTTGTTTGCAGGGGGAACGACAACACAGCACCAAACAAGCTGCACTGTAACTAAACCTGCCACATAACTGAATGGCTAATGGTAGCAAGAGTAAATGGGGTAGTGAACTCACTTCTCCAGGGCAGGGTTGTTCTCCAGGTGGCCACGGATGGCTTTGCGCATCATGGTATTTTTACCCATCAGCACCACAGCCTTGCCACGGAGGGACAGACGGATGGTCTGCATCTGCTTGGAGCCCACATTATCTGCCCCGACAATGAAGCATTTTGGATAGTCATCCAGAAGTTGCTACAAATCGCAACACACGAAATTACTATGAATAACTATAAAAAAAAAATACTACGTGAGAATACAGGCTTGTCTAGTCACAAAAATCCTACTTACGATGATTTTCATAAAATAGTTGGACTTCCACGTGGCCCTGTCTTCCCTGGGCATCTTTGCAGTGCTTCCAAGGATCGCTTAGTCAGCCGGTTTAAAGACAAGGTAGTACCTATACAGAATTAAAAAGTTAGTATTCGTGTCATTGAAAAACAACAAATCAAAAAACGGAACAAGCGATACAACCTGCATAGTACACCCTGACATGTGGTCGGCCGCTAACGTTAGCCGGCTAACAGTAAGCTAACAATATTTTAACAGGCCGCACTTGGTAAATTCCCACCACCGTACATGTACGCGAAACAAAACACATATTTATATGTGCTATAGATGTTTGTCTCACGAATCCGAAAACACAAACTAATCTAATTTCCCTACAAACTAGTCTATTTTTTGTTGAATGACACGACGACTGAAGAGGCTTACCTCACACAAGGGTCGCGTGAAAGAAAGAGGAGGAAGAATGACGCGAGAGGAGTATATATGAAGTGACTGACCAATCACAGTGGAGTTATGGGCGTCAGCTTCACAACTATTGGACGGTTGTAGTGTCAATGACGTCCGTTGCCCCATGATCGGCATTAAGAAGATACTACTTGTTGGGAAAAGTAAATTCACAATTATGTGCGAATTGTAATCTAACTGAAAATGCGGAATACATATTAATGCACTTTTATGCACTATGGAACAAATGGAGATAAGGTGTGGGAAACTCAGAAAGGGGTAATAATAGATTTCTTTCATTTTAAGATCGTGCTTTGACTACCCCGGGACGGTAGGTGGCAGTGTGCACATAAAAGTTGGTATTGCAATCCGCCAAAAAAACACAAAGAAGAAGCAGCTACCCTCCCACTACAACTAGCGTTTTACACATTAACAAGCGTGGAGTCAAAATTAATATTTCTGGCTTTCAGACAGAAATTAAAAAAATGAATACCGGTGAGAGGCAACTAGCTAACTGACAAATTCGGGAGCAGAGCAAAACGATGGCACAGCCGCCTTCACAGCTGCCGTCAGAGGTATGGAACCACGTTTTTGGATACCTGTCAGCGGCAGATAAGTTTAACGTCCGGGCATCCTGCAAGTACTTCAAAAAGCTTGTTGACCACGGGTCTCTTTGGAAAGACTGGGCTGTAGTTCTGAGTTTTCAAAATGGCCCTTACAACAGTCAGTTCTGGGCCACGCTTCGTCGTAGAAGAGTCACCAGTGTGGTGGTCAGGAGCTCCAAAGCTAAGGACTGGAAGCAGCTTGCCCATTCGCTCCCAGCTGTCACCACGGTAGTAATGGACCAAAGCTCCCAGAAGAGCCTCGACTGCTTAAAGGACTTTCCACATTTGAAGCGTCTGGCTATAAGAAGCAGCTGCAGTTCTCTTTCGCTAGATGCTTCCACCGTGTCCAAACCCCAGCAGCTGACTCACTTCAGCATGTGTGATGTTACATTTCCCACAGCAGCGATGGGCAGCGTCATTTCTGCTGTCTCCCACTTCACAAATCTTATATCTCTGGTCTGTCATCAAATGGGAGTCTTTGAAGAGACGATTTTAATGGTTCACTCCATACTTAACTGCCTGCCTAAGTTGAAGCATCTGTCATTGTCTGTTGTGCATAGACTGTGCACCTTTCACAGTATCCCCAGACCCAACCCAGGTCCCTCAGGAGGAGCACATGGACAAGCTGGTGCCCCGGCCTTGTCCAGTTTGGAACTTATCGACTGCATGGATCACTCATTACCAGAAGATGCAATGAGGCTGATGCCTGGCCTGAAGAGTCTTGCTGTATTCTACAGGCACTCACACCAGGAGATGCTAGATAGAAGGCCATCACCTGTGTGTCATCTGAAAACATGGCTGAGTGACCTCCCTCAACTGTCAACCCTGGTCATTGTCAAGGGCCCACCTGTTAAGAAGTATGTCACCTCCATTCCAGCCACAGTGACCAATCTCACACTCTGTGTTGCAGGATTATCCTCTGGGGACATGGGAGCCGTAGCAGTGCAGGTACCAAATCTCCTCCACCTTCACATAGACCCCTGGCCCTCACATTTGGGAGCTCGCACAGCTCAAATCCCACAACTTTTTCCAAAGCTGAAACGTCTCAAACTTCGCCATGAACATGTACCAGAGAAAAATTTCTTACGCCTTCACCAGCTGCAGGACCTGGAGTACTTGGAGATTCTGGATAGTCGGCCACATCTCTCTGAGCTTACTGCCAAGCTCCAAGCTCTCACAAACTACAGAGTTGAGGTCACAACCTCTCCTCGCAAGAGAGACGTGTTGTCCTGTCCCTGTGTGTGTCAGGTGTACTGAGGATCTGTCTTTGTGGTAGGTCAGTTGGACTGTTTACAGATCGCAGTTTGACCTGTGAAGAACCTGTCAGGATCAAATTAATGTCTGGGGTTGTGATTTCAAGAGACTTCAAAGTGCCAAAGTAGTGACTGCTTTGGACATCTATAGTATCTGGTCATATTCTACATTGTTAACCTAAATCTGCAGTTTCCCAATCTGGGCTTCAAATCCTGACATGGGTCACAAAATAAATAATTAAGATAATAAATCTGTTTAGTTCCTTTCTGTTAGTTTCAATATTTTGTGAAAATCTTGTGCCAGAATCTGATTTCATGCAAAACAGTAAAAGTAATAGTATGTGTGAAAAGTAAAAGCACAGAAGTCACACTTCTCTTGGACAGAACAATGCCAGAAATACTTATTTTATTTGCAGCAGTTATATTAATCAGTCAGTAATCAGGACCAACCCATACAAAGAGCCAAAACCATTTGTGGCTCATGAGAAAATTCAAATGGTAAAAGATCACATGAATGTCTCCATTTACAAAGCAAAGTTCACGTAATCTCATTAACAGTAAAAGGCTTTGATTTCTTTTTTGTCATTAATTCTTTGACAGAAGCAAAAACTATAAGGCAATGTACTGTAAGAAGATAAGTATACATGGGGCAAAATTAACTCACATTTCCTGTTCATTTTCTTAGGCATACACAGTTTAAATGAAGGCGCAAATGTCTTTCCCACAGCTGCACTGCCCCTGCTACCTGTAAATCTTAGTCTGCTACACTATACCGTCTGCTGAATGACTCAATGACTCAGTACAGAGGGGTTTTTGTCTATTACAGTGTAAAGTTTTCGAGTTAAGATGCACCACAGCAGGTGAAGCCTCTTCCAGAGTTCAGCCCAGAAAGAGTCAAATCACAGGAAAGGCTGAAACTCCACAGTGTGTACGACATTATTGCATTGACACATTTGGCACAAGAGCACAAGAAATATTTTCTCTAAGTAAAAACAATCTGAATGTGGATACTGTGTATTAATTCCTTGAAAACCCAGTGATCAAAATTAAAGACGAGCAATACTGGAAAACAAAAAACACGTCTCATGTCATGTCTATAAGTAAAATGAAGACGAAATGAGTCATTACATAAATTTTGCTGAAGGTTTGGCTCTGGCTTTGTGTCGTATTCTGATTCCTGACCAGGTAACACATAATATCTATCTTCCATCAGTGAGCCAAGCACCGATATCAACTCAGACAGCAGGATCATAGTTCACAACTCATAAAAACCCAGAGGGCTGCGTTTCCTTGGAAGTCTGACACACTGGAATCCAAGCTGGTAAAGAGTGAGTGTGTGTGTGTTAGGAGGGTAAACTATTGTTAGCCTACTTGCCAATAGAGCCAGCTCTTTGTATATCAGTGTGAGCCTGAACAGCTCAAAAATATATATATTTTTTTAAATCAAAACAGTGACAAAACACAGTTCTGTCACAAAGTCGAGCATATATAAATTTAGATTCTGATTGTAACAGCAACTGGTGGCAGCTAGGGCTGATAAAACTGCACAATAAAAGTAGCATGCTTCTAATCCAAATGCACAACTCAATTTAAATCATGAACAAGCCTCATTAATTGATTTAATACAGTGATTAATTCACAAGAGTAGCAATAGTAAAATATGGAAAAAAAATGTTGAACTGAAGCATCATTTATTCTGAATAATATTCTTCTGACAACAGTAAATCTCATTTTCAACAACTTTGTTTTTTGGCTTTTTAAAAAAAAAAGAAATCTAAAGCTGCACCAAAAGTTCAACATTTATAACCACGGTACAGATTGACCTATTTTTGTCATCACTAGCTGAAATGTTTTTATTTCATTTGAACATTATTAATGTAATTGACAACACACACTTTGCAGTAGTAAAGTAAAAACAAAGTTTCAAGTTGCGACATGAAAAAAAAAAAAGTTCAGTGAGGTTATTTTCCTAATGACTGAGTTCACTTCCAATGGGAAACAGTGAAGTTACACAAGCACACGTGAATTTACTGCATGCTGAAACTGAGAAAACATCTGGGTTTTTTTTTTAATAGTAAAACAGTAGAAAAATAAGAACTGATATCTTGATGACAGTAACTTGTAAAATGCACCTTTAAGACGGTCTCATCAAGAGATCTGTGGTTGGAGTGTGCAGAGAGTTTGAACTGGTATTTTAAAGATGTGAAGACGGAGTCCAGTGTGTGTCTGTGTGCATGTACATATGGAGTGTTGTCATGGTTATTTTAAATGGCACCCCAATTATTTCCAAAGCTACAAAAATACATCTTTTTCATAGATTAACACTCATTGGCCAAGCACTGGGTATTCAACACTCAACATATTTCAAAACTGATGAAGTCAATTCTCTGTGGTCCATGCAATCAAGCAGCTGTCTCATACCTGCACACTGTAAAACCACCACATGGTGCAAGGTCTTGCCCTGCAATAGGGGAATAAAATCATTTACACAGCTCTGAGGAAGTCCTGCAACTTCTCTCATACGCATCTATATGTACACACGCACAAGGGGAAATAAACCTCTAAATAAAAATCTCTTTGGGCTCTCTTAAAAATGTTTAGCAAAAGTGTGAAATGCCAAGCCTGAGAGGTTGGACAGCCAGGGAAGTCCCTTCAGTGTCAAGAGTCAATAGTCAGTCGTTTCCCATCTTTCTGATGTTATCCACCAGTGCATTAACACCCTCTGTCTTAAAAACCACCTCACTGACTCATACGTGCGAGACACGCCAGTGCACACACACCCACATGTGCATTTAGACACGAGAATAAACGTCTGCAGACGTGTACACACATATTCACACACAGAAACGCAGTCTAACTGAAGAGTTTAACAAAGCAGCCGTGGCAGTAGGGCTTGTCATTCTGCTCCTTGAAGGTGCCTTTGTTAAGCTGCTTGAGGCAGAAAGCGCACACAAAATGCTCCGGGTGGAACTTCTTGCCCATGGCTGTGATGCAGCGGCCGGTGATGGGCTTCTGGCAGCCAGAGCACAGCGAGCCGCGCCGCTCGTGGTAGTGCGCCTCGCAGTACGGCTGGCCCTCGTGGTCGAAGAAGCTGCCGTTTATGAATGGCGTGAAGCACTCCTGCAGAATCAAGAGAAGAGGTAGGATTTATGATAATCGGTTGACATGAAATGGCCAAACTCAGTAGAGAATGACGAGCGACTCACCCTGCAGACGAAGCATTCAGGGTGCCACAGAGAGTTGAGAGCAGAGATGTAGTTCTCCAGGATGGCACGGGCACAGCCACCACATTTAGGGGCAAACATGTCAAAGTAGTCCTTTCTGCAAAACGCCTTCCCATCCTTCTCATGGAAACCTAGAGGGCAGCAAAGACACACGCTGACTCTCTCTGCACACTTCCTTAAGCAATGAAGAATTCAACACTGCTCTGAGGCTACACAAACTGAGTGCTGTGCTGTTAACCGATGAGCGGCTGTTACCTTCTGGTCCAAAAAAGGCTCCACACTGGGCACAGAAAAAGTGCTCTGGATGCCAAGTCTTGTCCAAAGCAGTCACTACTTTCTGTGAAACAAAGGTGAAGCAAACGGTTAAACATTCACCCTCTCCTTAAGGTGTGACCCATAAATATGATTTCTCATGTTACACTCAAACATATTAGCCTGCATGTCTGTCATTATGGGAGAAATGAATACATCAGTGAGTGGGAAGCCAGGAGAGGGCAGACAAAGGCCACAGAGGCAGCGTAGGAGGTGCTGGAATACTATGACTGTTAGCTCATGTTTTCCAGGCCTGATAGCATTTCTCAGCAGCTTCAGCTAGACACACACTCTTACTGTCCATGTAACAACAACAAGATTTCAAAAACATCCACAACTACATCAGTTTCTGAAGCAGAGTAAGAATTTCTCAGTGTAAACCCCCCCATACACCTGGGTGCAGAAGTGATTCTCGACTTTGCCACCAGGGGTTGCAATGATGAAAAAGAAGGATTTTTTTTTTTTTGAGGGAGGGTAATTTTTAACAAACACCATTAATTGTATAGATAATAAAGGTGAATATATTTATAAATATTACAGGCACAACTGGGCATTACCAAACTTAATCACAAAATAACATTGCATTAAAACACAATTGAGAAATTCTCTATATTCTCTCTATATATATCTTCTGTAATTAAGTATTAGTAGTAAATATAAATACTCGCACATTCACATCGATTCTGATATTTCACATTTTAAGATGAAGACATGTTTTAAGGTTAGGGTAAGGTTAGGTTTAGGCAAGTAGTGGTTACGGTTACGGTTTGAGTAATTGAGTAATTGTGTGTGTGTGTGTGTGTGTGGGTTGTGTGTGTGTGTGTGTGTGTGTGTGTGTGTGTGAGTGTGAGAGAGAGAGAAACACACTGCAAGGATGAATCAGGAGCCCTTGGCAGTGACTCAAGTTGGCCTTTCCCCAGGCTAAAGTCCACGATCCACTATCTACTTCCCTTCCAGCACCTCTGGCACTGTATGCACTGTATGTGTGTGCGCGTAAGTGTGTATGTGCGTGAGTGTGCGTGTGCGTGTAAGGGCAAAGACTGAAAACATCCGAGGGGCGTGTGTCACTATGAAGATATGACTGAGCGCTGACAAGTGCGAGGAGAGCATGCAGTGACATGGACAGATGCGTTAAGTCTGTCTGCATTCGTAACACAACTAGAAGTCACTTCCCTTCTACTACAGATAGGACTGTGTGTGTGTGTGTGTGTGTGTGTGTGTGCGTGTGTGTGTGTGTGTGTGTGTGTCTGTTTGTGTTAGCTGACTGACTGTGTGCTAGAGAAAGATTTCCACAATTTCTGACATATAGCAATTTTTCCAGTAAGGCCTTAATCCATTAGGTTATGAATAAATAAATATCATTATCCACCCACATGTATATATGTTTTTGTATGTGTGTGTGTGTGTGTGTGTGTACGTGTGTGTGTGTTAATGCATGCATTACTAACATCCAGTATGGGTCCATTACAGTAGTGGCATCGTGGTGAGAACAGGCTGTGGTAGTCTTTCTCACAGTAAGGCTGTCCATCTCGCTCAAAGAAGTTCCTGGAGCCTATCTCCTCCTGGCAGTGGGTGCACACAAAGTGCTCGGGGTGCCACGTTCTGCCCATGGCAGTCACCACCTGGTGCGGGAAGACACAGTGCATTAAATTGAAATGAGCTGCTAGGGGAGAGCCCTGGCTCAGCAGAGAAAATCACTGCAGCCTTGCATGCAAGAAGCAAATGGGGTATTGCACACAGCGGCAGATGCAGATCTCATAACTCAATGAGATGTCCAAAGACAAAAAGTTCTACACATCCATTTTTGGCTTTTTGATAATCCAGTTAATTTTAGTGTAATTTTACTCCCAGGAAATACATTCAGTGTAGTCCAGTGAGAGAAGAAAACCTCCCCTTAGTTACAGTGAAACCAGTTTAATTCAAGCTTGTGACAACATTGTCTTCACACAAATGCTTTTACAAAGTTACACTTAATAAAATGCTGAATATATGCTGCAATTCTTTATATTGCTCCAACTACTGGTTGCCAGGTAAATGAAAAGTTAAATTATTGATGGATTGAGTGGCTTTGACCTTAAGCTATCAGCGAGCATGAGCCAACACTACACAACCCATCCAACTTGGGCAAATTAGTTTGCAAGTGTGCATCTTCCTTTTACCACATTATCAAAAAAAAAAAGCTATGATGATGTTATATAGGTCTATTGGGTATTCTAAATTATGTTTCACTTGCTTCACAATATATTAACTGTATATAAAGTCATATCTAAACACATCCACGTTTTCATTTCGCATGTATACCAACTTAAGTTTTGTTTGACAGTGAACTGACTTATATGATTCAATGTTATCATCACCTGTCCAACAATGGGTTTCTTGCAGGCTCCACAGACACCCTTAGCCACAGTCTGGACTCCGAGTCTGTTGAGGTCTGACTGCAGGCTTCCCAGCATGTTGTCCAGCTTGTTGGCTGGTTTTGGCGCGGTAGGAGATGTCTTTCCCTGGGACTGGATCTGTTGGAGATGGAAGACCCGGATTGTTTTCATTATACCATTCAGATGTACAGTACAGGGGGTTGTCAAAACAAAAGAAATGGCTTATAATAAATGGCAACGGAGTCAATACTGCTACAGAGAGGCTTGTGGTATTCAGTCACAGGTCTATACAGCAACAGAGACGAAGAGACAAAAACGACCTGTTTACTCTTATTAGGAATGAAATATTTACAGTTGATACAGAAAATATGTCGTACATATGAGTATCAAACAGCATGACAAAGCTAATGAACATTTTAACCGTGACAAAGTATGTCTTGATCAAACGTAATCCATGTCTGCAGGGTTTGATGATGACTGTGAATGTGTATCGAGATGCATTTGGCTTCTGTAATGTAAGCATACACAGACCTTCTCAAATGGTGTGGTCATTGGAGCTTCATGACTCCTGCGTTCCACTGAGAGAGAAAATAGCATCTCTGCTCCATGTATTCTCTCTCTCACTCACACACACACACACACACACACACACGCACACGCACACGCACTGACGAACACATTGAACACACACACAAACAAATGACCCACCTTACCTTTGACCAAATAAAATAACCAGGCCTCTCAACGGACCCTTGACTTGGACGTATATAATACGTTTCTCATGTCAATCATCTGTGCACATCAATCAGATGGTGCATGGCATTCAACAAGGACATGCTAACCTAGTGGGACCTGTTGACGGAAGTCCTGTGGGAGATGCTATAATTGTGGTGGTAACTGCGCTGTCATGTGGCAGATTAGGTTTCAGTTGCACTGCGAGCCTACCATTCCTGTGCATGGCAGGACAGTTAGTGTAGCGGGAACATAGGGGGGGTTACACTCTGCTTGCCTCTAAGCTCTTAAACTCTCCACTCCACTCCTCTCTGAACACACAGCTCTTGGCGCCATCACATGACAGAATTAGAAAAGGGGGCTCAGTCCCATTTGCCCGAATGTCAGCACCCCCCATAACCTGGACTGACTGGATTTCAGACAAAGTTTTAGAGAGGTGACTGACTGAAACTTGGCATGAATGAACAAGAAGGGGGTCAAAAAACAGAGCCGAGGACAAGACAACGTCTCTAGCTCACTCTAATACAGTGGTGCAACTGCTTGGATTTGGACCAAATAAGTAAGTAAATAAATAAATAACCTGCAAACTCATTCAAGTAAAATGACTCAAAGTCAGAGTACAAAGCAGACAAGAGAGTCAAACAGTTCAAGTGTGAGAGAAAGTGGAAAGACAGTATGAGGTCAGAGAAGAGGAGAGGGAGAGATGAGGAGAGGTGATCCGTGCCTGCATTGGTGGGAAGATGGGGTCGTACTCGGTCTGACATCCCACTGATACAAAGACTTTGGGAGGCAGAGGAGGAGGCGGAGGCGGAGGCGGAGGCGGAGGTGGCGTGACAGGTTTAGGGGGGGGGCTAAGTGAAGGGGGGGGGCTGGACAGGGGAGGGTGTGGGCTCCCTGGGTGGGAGGAGTTGGCTCTTTGGGGGGTGGAGGGGTGGGTTCTCGAGGAGGAGGAGGTGTCGGAGGGGGAGGAGGTAGTGGTGGAGGAGTCTGCTTAACTGGGGGTAGCTTTTTGGGTGCTGGGGGAGATTGTGGAGGGGACAGGACTTTTCTCTGTGGGGCAGGTGATTCAGGAGGGAGGATGATCTGGGAGAAAGAAGGAAAAAGGAAACAGCAAAGAGAGGAGAGCAAACAGATAAGATATAAGAACAAGGTCAGGACGAAGAAAAGGAAATGGTGATGAAACCAAAATGCCTCAATGAACGATAAATGATATCAATAAATTGCATATTTGAGTGCAGTCCAGAAAAAACAGGCCAAAAACATGAATTAAAAAAAACATAGGGATATATCATTTCCAACTCTTGGTTTAATGTGGTCCAGGAATAGCACTGACTACTGTCCACTTCTAATTTCTACCTTAGATGGCTGGGCCACTTCTTCACGTGTTCGCTGTGGGTTGGACATGACGATGACTCCCTCTGTCAGCCAATCATCTGGCTGTTGTTTGCGGCAGCGCTCCACTCGCCCTATCCCCAGTTTTCCCTGCAGCTCCTCAATGAGTCGGTCTTGCGAGTTGCTTTTATTCACTATGATCGGTCCCATTTTACGTCGCAGCAGTCCCTCCCTGTACATCGGATGCACATTGGAGGTCTCTTTGGTGCGGCGGATAACTGACTTGAGCTGGAGAGCAGATAATAAGGAGGCGTGGGAAGCTGGGGTTGTGCCATTCACCAGAAAGTCTGTGCTGGGTTACGAACACAAGCAGGACAGGCCCAACACAGGATGTTGCATTCAAGTGGCAAAAATGTTCAAGCACTGGCTTTGTCAAAATGCTTTGGAATTTTTGTCAGGCACTTGTGCATTTAATCAATTTTTCTTGGCGAAGCTTAGCACAGCCTTCCATTCAAATCCATTCTCTACCATCAAGTCTACTTAAAAATATTCAGGAATCTGTGGCGTGACATGCTGGAAAGTGGCTGTGGGGACAACACAAGCCTATCACAAAATGCTTTCACAAAGGTCTACACATGCCAAGGCAAGGCCAAAGGTCAAAAAAGCAAAGATCTTACATGTTTTTTTGTTTTATATTGTATATGCAGGTTCTTATACATTAGCAAAAACAAAAAATATTCACTCGCCTGTGGAGTCTTAACGACACAGTCAGTGATTAAAAACACATCTTTGCATCATTTGTCGGTTGTGTAAACATGATGGGTCAGGACCAGTGACTAACACAGCAATGTCGACTGAAGCAAGTAGGGGCGTGTGTAGACATCCTTTCAGCCACAAATAATTTCTACAGGGAGACTTCTCCCTCAAGCCATTTTGTAATTGCTATGCAATGACAACACATGCATCACACCACAGAGATGGAGGAATTTCTCCACACCAAGGCACTTCTGTACAATTGCACAGCTCCAGGAGTATTTGTAGGAGCTGCTCTCCCAAAATAAGCTTGTCTTAGCAACTAGAGACACATTCTGCTTGAGCAATCCTCTGACACAGCCATCCTGCCGTTATTGTCAGAGGTAATTGATATCTTAGGCCACATGGCCGAATCGGCAGAAAGACAGCAAGGGGTCCTAAAGCCTCTCTAGCTTTATGCCAGCAACTTATTTTGGAAGAGTTCAGTTGAGCCTCCTACTTGGCCAGAAGCAGATAGTCGCTCTACAGCAGAGGGCTGCTGTACGGGCAGGTCCAGTGTTGCATCTGGTGTCCCGGGGCAGGTGGAGGGGGTGAAACACTCGTCCATCCAGCTGGACTCAGTCATGGGTGTCAAGGTTCCATCTCGGCTCAGATCGGGGTAAACTCCGTCTTCCTCCTCCCAAGATCTGTCTTCATCTCCAAGCATAACAGAAGCAGGTGGCTGGTTCTCATCCAAGTGGGGTGAGTTGGGGGCTAAGAGTTTGTCTAAGGCATCATCCAATAAAGGCTCCCGGCATGGCCATGTTAAATCCAGTACCTCGCCTGCCTGTTTTTCTGTGGGTTGGGGAGACAGACTATTTGGTAGCACAGCAGCAAGTGAAACCGGTGAAGCTCTGGGGCTGCTGGTGCCTGGAACTGTGTGTGTTTTTCTAATGACTGAAGCGGGACTCTTGGGAACTGTTATTGGACTTGAAAGTCTTGGTAGTATTATTGGGCAAGGACTAGAATTGTTGGGTACAGTTGGTGAACTAGAGATATAAGGGATTGTCACAGGACTTGTGCTTTTTGGTACTGGACTTGAAAGCCTTGGCACTGTTCCTGTAGTTGTTGCCACTATCACGGGACTTTGATTGTTTGCAGTTGTTTCTGGACTATGACAAGTGGGAACTGAACTTGGACTCTTGTAAGACTGACTTAGATTAGAGTATTTAAGATCAGGTGGACTAGGACTCTTGGCTCTAAGAATTGGACTGGGGTTTTTAGACACAATAACAGGACTAGGACTCTTGGAAACAACCACTGGACTGGAGCTCTGAGCAGCAGGGCCTGGACTAGAACTTCTGCCAACAGTAATTGGACTTAAACTCTTTCCAGGTGGACATGAGACTTTACAACCAATGACCTTAGTGGCTGACATCTGTGTAGAACTGACTTCTGGTTGACTTGTGGGCTTTTGGGTACTGGAGACACTGAGGCTCTTCACATGAGAGATCTCAGAAGTAACACTGACACCATCATCTTTCTGTTGGATCTGGGAGTACTTGGATGTTACAATTACTACAGTGGAACCAGCTGAAGCTGAAGGGGCCGAACAACCGTCTTCATCTATATGGAGTTCCAGTGGGACAGGGGTGCAGGAGGGAGTAGTGTGACTAGAAAGTAGAAGAGTATCCACTGAGCCAGCATGGGAATTTATAGATGGGGCAGTTACTGCTTGGACAACTGGTGAACCAGCTACCAGTGAGGGGTCTACTGCTTCCTGATTTAGAGACAACTGAGAGCCAGACTGAATCGAGAGCAATGATGTCATGAATGCAATGTACATACAAAGACAAGACACACACAGTGGTAGAGAAAAGAGAAAGAGATCAGGGAAAATAGATTGAGAATGAAGGGAATGAATAATAGTCTCACACACAAAACCCAGCAAGGGCAGACCCCTCTCAATTGTCTTGTTTCAAAAGTAATCCTTTATAAAATTCTAAAAAAATTAACATAATATGAAAATTAAGTCTTGACTGTTTCCCTCGGACATGCAGGGGCCAGACACAATCACCTCAATTATCAAATGTGACTAGGGTGTTGAATAAACACTTTTTCTTTGACACATTAGGAATAAAACCAACTAAAAATGAATGATGTACAGATGCTGCTTTTGCTGTGTAAACTCCACAACTTGCTCTATGATTGCAAGCTTGAAAAAAATTGGACAGTCATTCAAACAAAGCATAACAAAACCTTTAACATGATTTTGTTGAGTGACAACAATTTGAAGTAGTTTTTGTATGTGAAGTGTGTGAAAAATGCTGATGAAGACGTGATGTGAAACAGCAGAGTGTCTGTTGTAGGAAAACTCTACCATTTCTGCTGTGGAACACTGCCAGCAGCAGCAACCAATTTATCGAAAAACAAAAACACTGAACAAAATCAGTCTGATCCTATCCGTTTCTACAATTAATTTAACAGTTGTGCAAACCCGTAAACATGGTCAGCAGAGTCGTAAACAGTCACACACACACACACACACACACACACACAGACACACACACACACAGACACACACACACACAGACACACACACACACAGACACACACACACACAGACACACACACACACACACACACACACACACAGCCAAAAAATATCTTCAATCAAGTGTGCAAACTGCAGAGCCCCAAACTCTACCCACTTGTGACCCGTACTCACATTGCTTTGGACTTTAAAGTCAGACAGTGACGCCATGAGCTCGTCCAGCTCACGTGTGGCAGAGGAGGCAGACATTCTGGCTTGCTGCTGTGCTGGTGTTTCCTCTTGGCCATCTGTTGGTTCGTCTGACACCACCAAAGGTGTGGGACTAAAGAAGAAAAGAGCACAATCAATTTAGTGTTAAACCAAAAACTACAAAACCCCCTAAAGCAAAACATTGTTGAGCAGTAATCAAAAACGTCTTCACGCATTGGCATAATTTATTTTCTTGCTGTAACAATCTGTGTCTTACATGGGTGAGGGCACAGAACTTTCCAGCTCATCTAGGAGGCTCTCTACACTTGGTCGTACATCCTCTATTCCACGAGCTGTCGCACTGCGTTTGGGCTTCTCCATTACAGGTGGTACGGCCTTGCCAGCAGTAGAGACTCCATTCTCGTGGATGTGGTGGATGATACTGCTGGCAGGCAGTGGTGGAGCTGCTTCCTCTATTACAGGAAAGAAAAGCCAAATGAATCTCACACACATCTACATGCTTAGATTATAATAAAAAAAAGTGCAGGACAACAAAATAACAAATAAAACAAAAAATAAAATAACACAAAAATCTGATGGTGACATCTTGCAGAGTAACAAGAGAATATTTTATGAATTGTACATGAATCTCTTTGTGTACCTTCTGTGGCGAAGGCAGGAGTGCTTTGCTGGACAGCATTGAGCTCCAACAGCAGGCGGTCCAACTCAGACAGGTTGCTGCCCAAAGATGAGTTCATTGCAACTGCTGATGACTCACTATTCTTCTGCTTATTAGGAAAACTGTACAGAATAGAGAGAAGAACCAATACTTATCATCAACAGAGTTAGGCAGGCATCCTTTGTACAGTGTTTCTGTGAAAGTCAGAATGAAAATAGCCTGGTCTAATTTTTCTTATGTGTCAAACTGTTGAAGTGAATTAGAAACACTATGTCACCAGCGTTAATCCCCTCCCTATAACAGGCAAAATGTGGTAGAGGTTGTTGACAACCACGGTACCAAATGAAATGATCTATTTCCCCAAAGACAAGTTATTGTGAATCCTACCTGTATACGTGGTCCTCTTCACCAGCGGGTTGGGTTGGACTGCTGCTATCTCTAGACCAGGGACTTCTCTGAGCTGGGCTGAAGGACTGAGCAGAGTACGCAGAGGGCAATTCACAAAGGGATCACCTAATTTACATGAACCTTTATTTATGAGTAAATTATGAGAGGAACGTCAGGGAGAGAGAGATGGGTCTGACATGCAGCAAAGGGCCAAGTCAGACTTGAACCCATGGCCGCTGCTGTTAGGACCAAGCCTATGTGGTACACTGTCTACCAGGTGAGCCCCCCCCCCCCCACAAAAAAAAACTCTATTTAAGTAAATGATCATTCACATCATGCCCAAGACATATACACTATATGTACAGTGCACATTTACCTCTGTTTCATCTAGTCCGTTCAGGGTTTGCTCAGTGGGAGCAGGTGGAGAGCAGATGTCTTGCTGGGTCTGATCCCCAACAGGGAAGGAGTAGGCGGTCTCGTCAGACAGGAAGAGCGGGCGCTTGGAAATGTGGGATGTTGTGGACTCAAGGTCCGCCAACAAAGCATCTACGGAAATACAAGATTTATCATTACTGGTGTGAAGATTATTACACTCAGAGACAAGGGAAGGACAATATGATGACATATATACTATAAAATGAAAAACTATTAAGATTTACACATATATATATATATATATATATACATACAGTATATTTTAACATCTCTAGTTGCATTAGGTCATTGTGATAAAAGTTGCAGATTAATGAGCAGAGTGCACATGGTACTATTAGATTTCACAGGATTTTTTGCATTCATATGACTTGTTTTTACGTATTTCATTCACCGAATTAGCTTTAAACAGACATTTCCATCTGGTTAGTTGATATGATTTCAGAAAATATACAGTGTCACAATAATAAAAAATAAAATTTCAACATCAAATCATGTATAATGTGACAGATTTCAACCATATTTGCCCACCCCTACTCAAAAGTTAAGATTTATTATTGCATATCTAGTATGTAGCACTGCAAAACTTCTAGCAACCGATCGCCAGTTCAGTTTGCATACACACAGACCAAATAATTACAGTGTCTTTCGCAATCGGTCAAAATCCCATGTGCACTGACATCAGCAGTGGTGGAGTTGTAAAAGGTGAGTCATGTAGACTGTCATAGCCACTCCTTTGGTTACTCATTGACCCTCATCTGTCTGCAGTCTTTACATGTCTTAAATCCAAGAGTCGCTGTCAAGTCTTCAACCTGACAGCTGCCATCTCTGCAGGAAGGGGTTATTTGCTATTTTGAGAACAACACAGTCCAAGAAAACAACTACTAATTTCGCAGTCATAACCAGTAGGTAGAGCGACACATAACAGTATAGGGGATTTAATGAAGAGCACAGGATGTATTACTGAATACTTGGGCTTATTTTAGCGCGCTCACTCACCACAGCAGGGTTTAGTTTCTCTTGCAGAATTCCACAGTCCAAATAAATAAAACCCTAAATTTAATAACAAACATGATCCAGCAAGAAATGTCTTGTGTGAATAAAGGATTTGTGCCGAATTACTATTTAGACATTTATATTACACATTTACCACAATACCAAGATATTATAGGCTGTCAAAGACACTGGGAAACTTCTAGTCCAAGTCAACTAAACCATAGTTAGATACAGCAAATGTATCAGTGCTCCTATCATCAAGTATTATTCCTTACTGCTGCTACTCCGATACTTCAACTGCACTTGACTGTAACAATCTATAAGCAATTCTGATAATACCGTAATATTGCCAAAATTGTTAAGGTGTGTTCGACATTTACTACTGCACTCAACCTCCATCCTAAAATAAACCGCTGGGTCAATAAAGACAAAACCATAGCTAAAGTAACATGGAGATGAGACCTACCTTTGAAAAAGACAAGCAGTTGCACCCAAGGAAATGAAGTGGAGATAACATACAGCAAAAAGAAGTAGTGGAGAAGGAAGACGACAACCCAAACAGACTGTCTGCCAGGCAGGAACTGCCTTTCTTAACTCTACCATCAGCATAAAGAGCAAAAGACGAGGAGGACAAGGAGGAGGGGGAAGAGTGGGGTGCTACTGAGTGCATAGGGTAAAGAAGGGATGGAGGGGTTAAAATTAATGGCAGGGGTTTAAGTTCACCCGGCTCAAACTGCCCCACTGCTATGCCAGGTTCAACCTAGCTGCCTGCTGTCTGAAAGCTCAAGTTAAGAGTTACTACTCACGCAAATGACGACCCCCTGAAAACAGTCTCTGAAGACGGAGCTGTCCAACTTTGGCAGGCAGAGCACGGTACAGCAGAGGAAGCAGTACACACGGATGAGGAAAGTTGAGAGCAAGCAGAGATCTTATCAACAGAGGCATGCCCAACTAAGGGAGTGGTATCACAAAGGTATATAAAAGTGTAATCAGCCCCTCCTTCACACTGTCAGCGCAAACTCTGCTTAGGTTAACTCATGACTCACACTCGTTTTTAAAACATCTTAATGTTACACGTTACGTCAATCTTAGTCTTAAAGCACAACAAGGATCAGATTAAAGATTAAAATATGATCATCATTTCAACATGAACATGACTGCGGGGTACACCACAGTATCATCAGTGCAGCGGTGACTTGGACTGCCGTGTTTCCCAGACAGAGAGGAGACACGGCAGAAGCGGAGCCAGATCAATCCCAGATCCACTCGGACCAACCTAGCATTCGCATGGTGAGCATGATTATCATGGCTAACATACCAGTTGACTGGGTTTCACAGCAGAGACTCCTCTCTGGACACAGAAGCCTGGACACATTCCATAGAGTTTCATTATGGATACAGCACAGCCCAGTGTTTACACTACTGCAGGCAGATCTCTGTCTGTCTGGCTGTCTGTCTGTCTGTCTCCTCATCTCTCACTTGGTGGTAGCAAAAAAAAAAAAAACACACCCATAGATATAAAAACAGAAACAACACAACTGTCAATCTGTATTGCTCATAACAAGTGTGGTGTGTGATAAAAACCTACCATTCAAAAACATTTCAAACCAACAGCTGGGCTATCATACAGACAGGTGCACCCAATGATACAGTGTCTGAGCTCTACTTCTGTGTCCAGAAGAAGAGGAAGTGAACCTATGATCTTATTTTAAGAAATTTTTCTCTGTTTAAAACTTAGAGGTTAAGACTTCTCCTTCTTGAAGATATTTCCCACAATGCAGTTTATTTTTATTATCACAGACACAGAGGTAGAGGGTTATGTGGATGTACTTTTTTTTAAGGTAACAGTCTACACAGTCCTCCCAGTTCCTTGTATTTGACATAATCTCCATGAAGTTTTACACATTTACAGTACAAACTAAAAACAAAACGAGATCAGACTAGATCAGAGCAAGTCCACACATTCATTTAGCATTCTGCAATACGATGAGAACTGGCCAAAACGCACTTTAGATTGTATCAGAAACTCCACTGAAATGCTGCATAAATACATGGTAAGTATATCTGGAGGACTCAGTACATATCTGTTGCTGATGAATAAAGTTTTACTGCAGCTGGTGGAGACCATAGTCTACAGACATTAGTCCAGATGGTTTACACAAGAGATGTTAATCAACTTAGCTCTGGAGCTGAACTGGCCTTAACCCTGGTTATGAAGAATCTGCTGCTCCAAAATAGAGTTACTGCTCAAAAACACGAGCCTCCAGGCTATATGAAACAAATATTCTGTTTGGTATTGGCTTGTAGGAGATCCGCGCACCAACTTTAATATCTAAGAGGTCTTGTTTCATAATGAATTAATTGAAACCGACAGCTGATTTCCCTCCACAAAGTGGCTGGAGCACAGTCCAATAATTTAGAGGATGTAGGCTAAACATAAAATATAGAAACTAGCAGCTTCAGAGTTGACTTTGTTCCCTGAACACTGCATACTAGGCATGCTCTGACCCATCCACAAACTACACAAACACACAGAGGTGTGTCAGCCTCCTCTGCCAAGGGAACATACCATGACACACACTCTAGTGCAAAGCACAGACTAGTTCCCCAGTGACCAAAAATGGAACTACAGTAAAATGAGGAACTCATAAGACATCCGAGTGCACAGTCATAAAAATGAGCCTCTCGAATCATTCTTATCCTTTGTAAGGAGAGGCAACTTAGAGACATAACTTTAGAGCTATTTTGTTATTATGAGTATGTTTTAGTATATATTTTTGGAAAGAGTATGTAAGAGGGAACTTGCTTGAAGTTCTTTCATATGGGATTAAACTTCTGTTCGATGGTTTATAACAACAAAGCTGTGTAAAAAACCCTGACAGACCAAAGCTGTAAAGCAGGCGGTTTTAGGAAGGTGACAGATCTACTCCTGCCTACCTAAAATAGTCCACCCCTAGATCTGGCAAACTGCCTTCATCAATTGAACACAATCCACCCTCTTCATTTGAAGCTAATGAAGACAGAAAAAACAACATCATCCTGTTTGCCTCCATGTCCACAACACTAAATGTGACATGGCGGGGCACAGCTGGGCTCAAACAACGAGGAATGGCGATGAGAATGGCAAGAGAGATAGTGAGTGAAACTGGGAAGTGTGTGTGCGTGGTGTGCAGCAGGCAAATCCTCAGAGGCTAAAATGTGGGTTGACGCAGATTAAGGAGACTCCCTTCCTCCCAGATGAATGGTGTGCATTTTAATTACACCAACACTGCTCCACATGGGGCTCATTACAGGATAAGACAGGGAGGAAGAGAGAGAGAGAGAACAAAAGGGGGACTGGGAAGACTGGGATGGCAGAGGAAGGGATGAAAAGAACAGGAAAATTAGGAATGAAGGGCGGCGGATGCAGGAAAATGAGGGTATCGAAAGGAAACCATTTGAAGAGTCAAGTATGTTGAGAGCAAAGGCACAAACAGATGTTGGATCAGCACTTAAATTACAACCATTGCCAGTCAAAAGCAACATAAAATATGAATGGGATCTAATTACACGAAGCAATCCTAGAACACTGCTTTTACTCTGTGGAGGTTTTATCAACATAAGTTCTCCACGTCAAGAGAGACAAGCCTCCATTATCCCTGACAGGACATCCTGTCTGCTTCACACTGCACACACTGCCTGAGCCCCTATCAGTGCTGACCACTGCATGGATTGAATCAATGCCGTCTTCTACTCAACACATCTCTTGTTTATTGAGCCCTGCTTGTAGCAGGTCGCTTCAGGGAATAGGTCCTATGAAATGTAAAGTAACGAAACACAGCCTTTAACAACCTGCAGGGGGTGATGTGGAGTTGTGTAAGAGAGCCTTGTAAGCTTCTGGCTTTTTTTTTTTTTTTTCTCTCCTCATGGCTGATACACAGAACAGGCTTTATCCGGGAGGTTCAGAAATGCAAAGGCATGAGCTGACACCACAGTGAAGCTAAGAGGATGAATATCAGCAATAAACCTGCAAGATTCTGTCTGTGCAGCAAGTTAACCTGTGTTCTCTGCCCCCCTTTCTACATCTACCCTTCCCTCATTTCTTCCCTCCATATCTGATGTGCTGCAAGGTGCAGGGT